TGAAGGCTTTGGTCATGCCGGTCAGCTTACGGTATTTGAACTTATGCGCAAACGTTGGTGGTGGCCTAACATGCGAACTGATATTCAAACCTGGTTATTAAACTGTAAAGAATGTCAGTTAGCATCTAGTCCTGGCAAAAACAAACATCATGCTCCTATGGTTCCCTTGGATATTCCTCCTGCTTTTGGTCGCTGGCATCTAGATTTTGTTGGTGAATTACCTCTAACAAATCAGGGTAATAAATGGCTCCTAACGGCGGTAGACTATACCACTAATTGGCCTATTGCTCGTGCTGTCCCAGAGGCTACTGCGGAAGTTGTTGCAGATTTTATCTATGAGGAGATCGTCATGAAGTTCGGCTGCCCTCAAGAAATCCTGACTGATCGTGGTGCAAATTTCATGTCTACGGTGGTAAAGTTGTATATGAATCGTATAAAAACAAACCACAAGTTCACGTCAGCTTTCCATCCGCGCACAAACGGAAAATGCGAACGACTTAATGGTATTCTCAAGGCTATGCTTAGGAAATACGTCAATGGTGCTATTCATATTTGGGACAAGTTTGTAGATACTGCTCTTTTTGCTGCTCGGGTCCGTCACCATCGTTCTACTGGTTATTCTCCCTTCTACTTGGTATATGGCCGTGAGCCTTTGCTTCCTGGTGATTATACTCGTCCTTATTTCGATAAGTTGACTTCTAATGACCCAAGGACAATTGCTGAACACACTGCTCGAGAACTTGAGGATATTGGTCAAATCCGCGCCGCCGCTGCCCATCGAATGAAAATAGTATCTGAGTCTGACAAGAGACGTTGGGATGCTGCTATCGAAAAGCTGGAATTCGAGATTGGTGATCATGTCTTACTCAGAAATGAGCAAAAGTATGGTCTGGAATACAACTGGATAGGCCCTTTTGTCATTGTAGATCGAAACGAGGCCAACCATGTTTACAAACTAGAAACTATTGGTGGTGAACCTTACACTTCTTGGGTACATATCGATCGATTAAAAGGTGTCAAGGCTGATTCGATCGATACTCCTTGGTACAATCCCACGGTTTCTCGTGCTGCTTGGCGCTCTGAAATGGGTCTTGACTCAAGGAATAAGGCTACTTCTGACTCGGTTGAACAAGTTGATCAGAGGCGATCAACATTCTCGGGGGGGAATGATGTCGTACCCAAACTTAGGTTTAAGCCCAATGTGAAGAAAGCGGCCAGAAGACACCAGCAGGTGCTCGAAGGTTCTGGAAATTATTAGTCAGATGTTTATCTGATTATCATTACCATATCTGGCATTCCCCTTATATGGCTACGACTTCAAATACTAGAAGCTTCCACTTGAGTCACAACTCAGACATTATAGATAGTATAAATATAAGTTGCACTCAATGAAATAAACATCATCTTTCAACACAAATATTAAGTATTAGTTACACTCTATAGTAAGTTAAGCCCTACGACTTATTATACGTATCTCTGGTTATACTTTACAAGTTTTATTGGCTTTGCTACTTATTGGATCTATCTACAAAGACGACATCTTTGTCAAAGTTATATCCTTCTAGTATGTTTACCTTTGATATAAAATAGAACAATTAAAATTAAAACAAAGGAAGATAGCAGACTGTAAAAACTATCAATGACACACTAGAAAAATATAATTTAAAAATATAATGTATAGGCACTAGTAAGCTTCAAAGACAGAATTTGAAGGAAGTAATGAGCAACAAGATTTTTGTAATTAATCAGAAAGAAAAACTCTTCTCTTTTTTTATTTTGAGTAATCAAGTACCCTTTTTAACTTTCAACAAACACCAATGATATAAATAACAATAGTGATTTCAACAAGAATTTAGATCTACATCTAACTATACGGACTATGAGAGTGACACAATGTGAACAATCAACTAATTCAGCCTTGATAACTTATCAATTCGTAAGAATATCAAAGTACGGCCTTTCTTGAGTTAATCGCCTTTCCAAATAAACTTTTCTTGAGGGAACACAGGTTTGACAACAGAACAATAGACTATAAAGCCATTAACAACAGAGCAATCGTGACACCAAAGATAAACAATTTGAAATAGTAATCACCAAGAACACCAAGATAGAATACATAAATAAATAAACGAATAAGATAAAATAAAGTAAAAGAAGAAAAGAAAATAAATAAAACAAGCAAAAATAAAGAAAGAATCAAATGAAGGGATAATAAAAATAATTAAAGTAATCAAAGAATACTTGTCAAGAGCGAAAGTACAATCTGTCAATCAAATTTCATACCCAGAGCATCTTTTTCTTGAATTTCCCCAAAACGTCTCGCGAAACTTACAATACTTGTGATTGGTCGAATCACTAAAGCACTTCGATTGGCTCAAACTTGTAACCGCCATAACTCTACCAGTTCTGACCCGATTCTTACCAAAGTTATACCAAACGACAGCTACTTCATTCCTTAATAGACCAACACCTTCAAAAAGACAAGTTACATATACAGATCAAGAGCTATTCAACAAAATAAAGTACCCAAAAGCAACAACAAACAAATCAGACACACGTCATCTTAACCTCGCGCGGTTGGTTAAGGTGAAATTATGTTTATTTATGCATGGGCAAAAATAAGAATATTGTATACGATCCCATAAGTCGGGCAAAAAGAAAAATACAGATATTCGGGATTGGTAGTACAGAAATAAAAACCCAAGAGGGGGAAAAAAAAGTGCAGAAATTGGTTGCAGAAAAAAGAAAGAGAGAAAAAGAGAGCTAGAGCAAGGACGAACGCAGAACGAACTATCCTCGGTTTTGAGATGATTAGAGGTTACAAGATAGCAGAGGTCAGAATGCTAATGCTTCGGCTAGATGAGAAGTGGTGAGTTGAGCAACAGAAGAGTGGTGGAATGGGTGGCGCGGTTGGTTAAGTGGTATAATCTTCGCCTGCCACGCGAAGGGCCGGGGTTCGATTCCCCGATCGCGCAATTTTATTGTTTATTTCCTTGAGTTTCATGTGAAGAAATAAAAAATTCTTCTCCCTTGTTTTTTGTGACTTGAAAAGAACCAAGCTAAAGGAAATGGCTAGCACGAAACTACAACAAAAAATAACTCCGAAAGCGCATGACCTTTGAGTCCGATCTTGTTCGACATGAATCTCAGGAAGGTCAAAAGAATTGAACAATGTTAGAACTTTAGTTCAAAAAGGGGCAATGGATGCTGAAAAAGTTTTCATTGTTCACAGCAAGCCAACTCATATTGAGTTTTGACTCTGAAGAACATGTTAATTACGAGCAGAGGTAGATTGTCTATTAATTCCTTGCCTTCTTTCTTGATAAACCACTGTATATGATTTAATATTATTAATCTCAATAATGGCAGCATTAAATTCATCAGTTACACTTAGACCTAATTTATGATTAGAGTTTGATAGGAAGAGATTTCCAACATACTCGCAAGTACCAAGGTAAGCATCTAATATTTTATTAAAGAGTAAAAAAAAAAAAAAAAAAAAAAAAATAGTAGATCAAACTTATTTCTCCCAAAATGAAAAGAATGTATTCAGAGAAAAGCCTACTTATCTTATATTCTGTGTTTACATAAAAGATGTTTATACAAAATACATATTTATTACACCTAATAGCAAAATGATAGAGCAGCAGCAGTATTAGCCAAGCAATATAATGATATCGGATTTGCTCATTGACAGTTGTCAAACTGAAGAAAACTGTACAAGTCTTATTGAATTTCTAGCATTAATCTCCTCAATCGACGCAATACTGTTTAGACAACATACTGTAGCAATGTCACAATTGATAAACAAAGCAAACTTGGTATTTTTGATACAAATACAAACAATTACCGTTCATATTAAACGAAACTGTTTGTTTGATTTTTTTTTTGTCTATTCCTAATAAACAGTGTGTATCGAAGTCAAAGCATCGTCAGCATACATATCACCCAAATAACATTCCTTCGTGTATGAATTGTAAGCAAACATAACTTTGTCTTCTCTTTTTGTCGTTACTAGTCATTTGTCTTTTTTTTTGTTTTTCAAGCTTCTTCGCTATGATTTCTTATGTTATTTATTTGCATCATGCAATGAACAACGTTATTGCTTGTTCTACTATAATAAAGGAATGTATAGCGTCGATCACAGTGAACAAACCTTCCCTTTGGTTCTGTGTGTTTTTCTTGCTATCGCTGACATTGTATATGATACTATAAATGCAGGTTGATGTTTTTTTTTTCTCGGTACTCTTGCACTATTTGTTTTATTTAATGCCTCGAAAACATTGCTTGTACCAAAGAACAAAAAAAAAATTATAACGCAAGATGTTTTTTTTTTCGATTTCATTAGTGATATCCGGTGCATCAAAAAGAAACATTCTACGCAATCCATTAAAAGAATGATCGTCAAAAAGATGCTGTATCAAAACAAACAAAAAAATGTGCATTGCTGTTTAATGTACTGAATTTAGTTTCGACAAATCACATAATAAGGAAGAGAAAAAAAATGTTTTCTTGTATCATTTGAGAGTGAAAAAGGGGATCACTTTTAGTAAATGGCACACAAAATCCGCATTTTGATCTTATGGGAAGCAAAAAAAAAAAAGAGTTTTCGGGATAATGAAAAGAAATTCATTTGGCAGTTTATAGACATACATTATTATCGAGAATAGTGCTACAAACCTTAAAACATCTCGAAAACACCATATAGGAGTCATCTTCTCAGTGGCAAAAAAAAAACACTCTCTCCTTTTCCCCTGTTAACTACAATAACAGCGACTATAAAAAAAGATGCAGCCGATTTTTTCAATGTTGAAATACCAAAACTAGACATTTTTTTTTCGATACAGATTCCACGACGATCTTGTCCGCTTTCAAAACAATAGCCGAGAATAAAGACCAATGCTAAACAAATTCAGGAGAAAATAAGCTTGCCACGAAAAAAAAAAAAAAAAAAAAAAACCCACTAATTTATCAGCTGCTCCTCTCTCGATAAAGTTTAATTTATACATGTAAAAAACTATTTGTTTATTTTGAAAGTTAAAAAAAGAGGGGGGCATAGGATGGTATTACAAAGAAAAAAAAATTGATGCTAAAGAGAATAATTTAAAAAAGAAATAACGTTGCGCGCGCGAAACACGTATGGTATGGATTTTGTGAAATAAATAAATAAAGTCTAATCCCAACAAATGGTAAATTCCTGATGACCTACAATCACTTTGGATGGGATCACAGAGGATTCAAAAGGTCGAAAAGGTCTTGCTCCATCATCTTGTGAGAGCCTTTGTAATAAAATAGTAGCACTAATGGTATCAATGATATCCTGAGCAACATGAGCAGATGGTTTTTGAATCGAAGGAAGTGTGTATTCATGAGAAGGAGGTGCTTGCTGAATTGGTGGTAATAAGGGACCTTCGTTTGACCAGCTGTTGTTGTCTGGTGGATATGTCTGGATCACTCGGAATGTCGGAGAAGGCGTGGGTGAATCAAGAGAAGATAATGAGGAAGCATCCGAAAGTGTCATCATATCATCAAACTCATCCGAGCTTTCATCCTTGTTGAGCAAACGATTGACCGACATACTGGTGGAAATCTTGCTGCGTTTTCTTTTTTTGATGGGTACAGAGCTGGATCGCATGGTTTTGCGGCCTTTGGCATAAGGCTTTTGACGCATGGTTGTGTTACTCTTTTTCTGAACTTTGGATTTGGGGTGCAATAAGAGACAACCATAGTCTTGATGATCGGGTGAAAGTGCTTCTAATGGGAACTTGGGGCCAAACATAGGCACCAATTCTTTTCGGATATGCCAGGCAGTGCGTTTACAGAGTAAGTGGGCATAGTCATAAGGAATCCTTTATTGAGTGGTCAGTATATACTTCTTATATGAAATAAAAGCCTACCATGTGCCTTGGATTCGAAGGAATCCTCCTCTGATCTTTTTTGTACCCAATTCAGGATTTGAATCGACCATTTTGACAATGTCAGATTTTGAATTACCAAGTGCCTTCCAGATACCAGTGAAATGCACGTATCCTTTTAAACGAGTGTTATTTTATTGCACATACACAGATCAATATGCATACCAGTTTCTCTATCCCACATAATGGGCGTATTGTTGATAACATATTCATAGACTAAGAGATATAAGTCTTTGGTTCAATCATCCTATTTATTTCTCTTTACCTGGAATGTAGCCTCGAGGATCAAGTGAGGTCGAGTAATGATCTTTAGAGATAGTAAAGTTGTCCGTATGAAAGGGACGATACATAAGGCTATCATTGTCGGATAGATTTTTCTTGTTTTCGATCATAATAGAGAAGAAAAAGAAAGAAAATAATGTTATATGCCAAAGCGAAGTTTATATAGAGTTCTTCCGAAAAGAAAAATAAGGGGGTGGGGAAAATTGAGGGGCTTATTTTCTCTCTTTCTTTTGATTGTATTCAAGTGTAATTTTCTACTTTTTTTTTGAAGAAATATATATATATTTTTTATGTCTCTACTATGCTCTTATAGTTGAATACAATGAAAAGAAAAAGTGTCTCGAAACAAAAAGACTAGTAAAAAAAAGGAGAAGTATATGTTTGTTTTTATATCATCTCGAAAAAAAAAGGGGGGGGGCAAGTCATTTATTATTCTTTTTGTTAGTAAAAATGAATATAACCTTTTTGAAATTGGTCTTGTTTTTATGCATTATCTTGTTTGTTTTTACTCAAGAATTTTGAGCATATCACATCATTTTATTTTAATAAATGCACAAGTTAATTTGTCCAAAAAAATATCTTATTTCTTTTTCTTTCGTTTGTTCATAAAGTACCACCGTTTTTTAGAAGAAGACGCAGTAGTGGTCTTATTTTTCGTAGTTTTTCGTTTTCGTTTTGTAGGTTCTTTTTGTTTGAATTGTTCAAAGAATGGATTAAAGAGTGCATTATCTCGGTTTTCTTTAATGTTTGTAAAGCCTTCTAATGGTGATAAATAACCGTCGTCCTCTTCTTCAGGTAATGGATCATGTGTGTTGTCAGGATTGACAAGGTCAATCACACTGCAGTCCGAGTCTGATATGAGTGTCAATTCTTGATTTGAATTGTCTGGTTCGAGTCTTTGATCATCAAATAACTATATATAATAAGTAACACAATAACTATCGTTGCATGAAATCGCACGTACTCCTTCTACTTGTTCATCCTCATCGTCGTCGATCAAAATGGCACTGTTTCGATCTTTTTTTCTTCAGACATAGAGTTCTCTTCTTCACTGTCTGGTTCATTTAAAAAGGCAGACAAGTCTGGTATCTCTAATAAAGGGCCTTGATTCACTGGTTCTTGCTTTATCTTCTTTGTTTTTTTTACAGGTTGTGGTCTACTAGAGACAGTTTGAAATAAATCATTTTCATCCTCTTCAATATGCTGTACTAGTCTCTTTTTCTTGTTACTGATCCGAGAAAACTGCTCTAGTAGTCTCTTTTGTTCTTTCACTTGTTCTTTTTTGCTTAATTCTATAGCTCGCTGAAGTTCCCTTTCTTCTTGATCGTCTTTAGTTGACTTATTTCTAATATTCTGGAATATTTCTTTTAATGTCTGAGGTTTCTTTTTCACCATACCAAAAGGAAAAAAGAAGAAACAAAAAAAAAGTTGCATACACACACTAGTAGTTTGAAAACTAGTCATATTCAATAGCCGCAGCTCATTTGCTTCTTTTCTTTATGAATTGGATAATTCTCTTATTAAATAGAATATACCATACACCTTTATTACTATCCATTTATAGAGTAGTTAAGTGTATTGTGCGCTTATCCACAGGCACAACAGAACTCTATCGTCTATGTAACGCTACTATCATAACACAACAACAGCTTGAAAACGAAGGCACAGACGAAAAACTCGACGTACAAGATATACGCGTGCCAAGCAATATTATCTGCCGCATTGATCAGTCTATTTATTATTCCAAGCAACTTCAACAGGAGAAATATCAGCTTGGAATTACTGATTGTTCTGTGGAGAGCATTTTAGAGAGAATAGTGTACAAGAAAGCGTTTCCTTCAACAAGAGTACCAGCTGCTTATGTACTCAAATACAGTTTAATTCAGATCTACCAATCGAATCAAGTCTTGAGTACTGTAGAACAGCATGTCCGAACAAGATATGATCCAGACAACAAAGCCCATGAGGCACAACTACTTTTGGCAAGTATGTATAGCTGTGCTGTCTTTACTCATACTCCATTAGTTGTGGTCAAAGATGAAACCTGATACTCCAGTCGAAAGAAAATCTAAACAATGGGTAGAGATTGGTTTTCAGGGCAGTGATCCAGCCACGGATTTTAGAGGCATGGGCATCCAAGGTTTGAATGACCTTGTTTATTTTGTAGAACACTATCCGACACATGCACACTCTGTACTACAACATGCTTCACACCCTACTTACTGGTACCCTTATGCTATTGTGGGTATCAATATCACTAAATTCGCTTATCAATTACTGGAGTCTAAACAGCTACAATCGTACCTTTATCAATACGGTACCACGTTGGATATATTTCAAGAGTTTTATTGTTACTTGTTTTACCACTTCAATCAATTCTGGATATCACATGAACCAAAACCGACAGTCATGGATTTTGAAGCCAAATTCATTGAATTCAAGGCACATATTACGAAGGATTTGATGCAGAAAAAAGTCATGCCTTTTGCTAGTTTTATTCATAATTAAAATGTTGATGTATAATACAAGTGTATTTTTTTTAGGAGAGAGAGAGAGAAAGAAAAAAAAAGAGGTCTTAAGAATATGTCGAGTAAATAAATGGGTTCATAAATTGTGAATATATATATATATATATATATAATAGTAAAGGTAAATGCAGAATGATCATAATGCAAGCTTAAATGTTAGTAATAATTGTTGGACATCACATCACTTGAGTTTGCAAATGATGTTGGCTGGTATCCTGTAAATGTCCCATCATCCGTATCAAAATTGTCTGTAAATCCTATATTAATACTGCTGTCATTAGTCGAAAACATAGGTGGAAATGAATCAGAAACTAGCGTGTCATTGGATGATGGTAATGATAATGGTAGTGATACTACTGGAGGTGGTGGAGGTGTTGGATCAGTTTTTGATTTCTTGCTATTCTTTCTTCCTGTATTGGTTGCATTGACACTGCTCTCATATCGCTGTCTCTTTTTAATGATGTCTGTTTTCATTGATAAAGGTCGACGTTCATGATGCAGTTTTAGACTATCCTTATTTAGCTATCTCTTCGCACTTGACAAATAAATACTCACTATAGACCACACGCGTTACACAATGGAGCCCCTTCATCATCTCTTCTCCATAAGGGTGTTGTTGTTGTTGAGCAATTGCTACACACAAGTTGAGATGTCTCATCATCCCGGGCTTCTTTTCTTGCATTATGGGGCTTCAGTGTCTTGGGTCTTGGTGCATTATGTAATTTTTGGCTATAATAGATAAGGAAAATTGAATGGTTGAACCCTGATTTTTTGTTACTTACTATAATCCACATGCATTACATAATAGTTCGTCTTCGGCTGATCTTCGCCAAAGAGGCGTACTTGTGGCCCCACAATTTGTACATATAGGTTTAGTTTGACTGTCTATATTGGATACACATGATGCTATTGACCGTTTAGGTTTCTCAAGTAAAGTTGATGGCGCTGGTGGTGAATTTGGTGCTGAAGCCGAGATCCGTTTTTGTTCAAAACCATGTCTATAAAGGCAAAATATAAATCAATATATGCCTACAAAGCACAAAAACTTACATGTGTGACCCTAATGCACGGTTTGCTTCGTCTACTACCATGTTATTGACCTGCACAGAAGCATTACTGCCTGCAGTAGAAGCACTCGAAGAAGCAGACATGGGTGGTGTTTGATGAAACGACTGAGCTGAATTTAGTCCTATATTGCCCAATATTTTGTTGCGCAGTGTAGCTGTCGGTGGTGGTGGCATGCTTGAACCTGAAACATACATGGCATCACCCGCTTCATTTTGTGACGTTTGTTGCTCAAAACCAGATAATAGAATCGGACTGGTATTTATACTCTTATCATGAATCGTAGTTTGTTGCTGTTGTTGCTGTTGTTGCTGTAATGGAGGTGTTTCCGTATTAGATTGTGAAGGTGAATAGTATGGATTTGTAGGTGAGGGAATACCAAAATCCCAACCATCAGCCATATCCATGTTTGCTGTAGACATATCGAAACCAGTGTTAAAAGCATTGAAGAGATCGTCTAATTCGATATTCTGTTGTTGCTGTTGTTGTGGGAATTGGGGCAAAAAGTTGTTTTGTGGTGCGTTATTATAGAACGAGTTTTGGAAAGATTGAATAGGAATATTGTCCAAGGGGTAAACCTGTTGTTCGTCAATAGGTTCGTCCTTAATAGTAATTGGTACGAGAGAGCACTGGCTACTGAGCTTTCTCGCTGTATTGATCGAAAGTTTTTTGAAACCTTCTTGCTGCCGAAACCATAGACGCCAGGACAAATTCTCAAGACGAGAACCATGTTCAAGCGAGTCTCTGACTTTGGTACAAACTTTCCATGCTCTTGAAAGATCTTCCTCTGAATCAAGTGACGAAAATGGAGAAAAAGTCTTATTTCCCTTGATTTTCAACACAATAGGTGCCATATTAATTTGTGTGGAAGAAAAAAGAAAAGAAATAAAAAAATACAGAATCATCAAAATTTTATTCGGCAGTTCTAGTACCGATAGCCAATCAAAAAGGGCTCGTGCGTTTAATTATTCTGAAGAATAGGTGATAAAAATGAGTTGCCATTCAACATTTGAGTGGTAGCGACAAGATAATCTCGACCTATGTGTAAAATATTAGTTTGAGTTTGTATGTTTTTTTGTATTACCTTCGTCATGTTGTGCCAAAAAACGAACAGCTGATACCTCAGTATGTGTGCAGCCACCCAAGAAAAAAATGATAGTTGTCTTACCATGCTGAAGTCCATGGCGTTTGGCTTTTGCCATAGCCACGTTAGTTTCAGCTCCATATTCCACTGTCTGTTTAATATCAAACGATTGTCCTGGTAATAATTTTAAAATATCTTCTGAACCCCGCCATCCACCTTGCGTTTTTTCTTCGCGAATAAAATTAGCTGTGCTATTGCCTACATAGGAAAACAAACTAGCAGCGCTGGTACCTGCCGACTGAATTGTGGCCTGACCTAGCTTTTGCATAGCAGCTTGGACGAGTCGAATGCTGAGGGGTGCATATCCCGAATAAACATAAGATATGTCATTTGGATGGAGCTCATCGACATCATCCACAATCAACTTAAGTAGTCGCCTGCATTGTGCAAACGTGCTGCGGGAAGCGGCTGAATTTGTTCTTTTGGTCCAAAGCCTGAGTTTTTCCAGTTTGTGTAACGTCTCAATATGCTCATAACCATAAGCCTAATGTTATGTAAATAAAATGACCTCATTCGAGTTGACCCTTCCGTTGCTTACCTGAACAATTTCCCTTTGGAAATGATCAAACACTTTTTGCTTAAGTCCACCTTGAGCTAATGACATCAAACAAAGCAATCTAAGAACTTGGACTAATGGCTTCTGCTTATTGATCATTTCCTCAATATAGTCTGGTTCTCGGTTGCCATCAATGCCCGCAACAACGTCTATCCGTAAAGGAAAAAAAAGTCAGGCAATTTATCAGAGTGTAACCTTACTTTGTTGGACTTCAAGGACTTTGTTAAATTCGTCTGTGACTGTATAGCCGATGATTTCCTCAGCAATACCCGTGTCTAGTTTATATTAGTCTTGTTTTATCATATATAAACCACATACGAATCTTGAGAGACTGATGTTCTTGTTGAAGTTCATTTAATCGGCCTACAAAATCACGAATTTGAGCCACTGTTTTGGCATTATGGCGTTCCTAAATTGATGAATATCTGTTCTATCTTTTGATACAACACTTACTTCATAATTCTCGTTGATTCGTTTAGCAATCTTGTTCAACATTCCGCCTACAACAGCAAAGTTTTGATCTCTTAATTGACTGAATAACTTGTCAGATGAGTTCAAGACATATTTCTTCTTCTTGATGGGTTGTGTAGGTGTAGGTGGTGCAGTAGATGGCTGTGGTGACTTGGGTGTCTGAGCAGGATTTACAAGAGCAGCATCTAGTTCAACAAAACAGTGCTTGATGCCCATAGTCTCATCAATCAGACCTTCATATGTCAACTCAGTACATAGAGGTGTGACAAGATCTACATTTCTGTCAATAATAATGAATTGATCAATGTGGTTCGAGATTGTGTTTAATAAGGAAGGTGTCTTTGTTACTGTGTTATCTATCACTGCTTGCTCTTTCCTCATACGTAACAACATATCTGCTAATTGCTGTCATAAAAGATGAATATAATGACGTGTATTTTATGTCTTACTTTGGCTGCATCTCCTTTACCCATGATACGAGGGAATAGACCATAGATGGATTGAAGACGCATAAGTGCTTTTGCTGCATAATAGATAGATGTTTGATCTCCGTCCTATTGTATAGATCAATAAAGAAAACAAATGTTTATGTCCATACCAGATAGATCTCTTTCCATGTAGACGTATCTAATTCCATTGAGATCAAATCGTCTTCATAAGGTATCCAATCCATTGCATAATCGCCAATAGTAATATCGCCCTTTACGCCTTCCTCTTCTAATACACGCTCACATACCATTGTACGTTGAGGCACAAAAAATAACCAACATTCTACTTTAGATGTTTTGGAGAAATGCTTAATGTGGTCTATTTATTGTTAGAAAAAGACGCTGTTTGTTTCACATACTTACTAGCGATATAACGCATGTATTTCAATTTGGGTCGACAAATATAGATTAAACCAGGACATTCTGTTTCAAGTACGTTGGATTCAAGATGATAAATCTTTTCTACACCATGATCCTAAAGAATAGTTAACAAAACAGCCTCGTTTTATAAATTGCATACCTTCAATAATGTGAATTCAGCAATCAGACTTAGAGGACCAGTGATAGTAGGGTCGAGAACAAGTCCTTTTTTACCTCGAACCTAATACTATGCATCAACAATTTTAATTTTTTTATTGATAAATCTACTTTGTCAAGGATCTCTGGTAGTTCTTTTCTTGAAAGTTCTCGAAGCTTAGCCAGATTGAGAGGCGTGTTTCCAAGATGAGTGCCAGTACTGCTCATGTTCTCTTAAAAAAAAGGGAGGGGGTTTGTCAGAGAAAAGAAACTGAGCAAGTGAGGTTTTTGTGCGCGTCCTGAGATTTTTTTTTGTTTTCAGTAGCCAATCAGGCTCTTTTTTGAAATATGCAGCTTAATTCTCAAGAAGAATCCTTTATTATGCCTCAGAGCAAAATCAAGTTAAACTTGAGCTTTGATGAAAGGTTCTACACAATCATACCCGATAACATTAAGCCTGTTGATACAGATACACCAATGTTTCTAGGTCTTTCAAGATGCATGGTTCTAGGAGGAACATCCGTATCTGTGTAAATATTTTATATGTACTGGTTAATATCTTTTACTATTTCTCTTCTACCGCCTGCCCTTCGTCATTATCTAATGTAAGTAATAATACAATTATCTTATGCGCTATTTACTTGTTATTTATTTATGTATCTCTTACTCTGCTTAATTTTTAGAACTTGACAGAAGTAGAAATATATGTCTATAAGCATCTGTTATTGGCTATTCAATTCTTTCAGAAGCAAAAAAAGTTTTAAGCGCTAATTCTGCTCGTTTCACTAAGAAAAGGCTCATCGGCGGGCTTTGAATGTAACATATTTTCAAGGTTCGTTCTCAGTTCGTTCTCAGTTCGTTCATGAACTTTCCTGAAATTTTTGAGAAAACATGGTCCAAAAGTGCACAGAAATGAAGAGCTATCAGAACTCTGTAGTGACAAAGTTGGTAGATATTGACAGGGAATATCTTCCGATGCAAAGAAAACAGTATATTTGCTATCAAGTTATTAAGAGAACTCTCAGAAACCTACTTTAATGTTTCTGAGCTATGGCGTACACTTTTTATATTGCTTTTGGAATCCTGACACTTTAAGTGTATTTTCCAAGCTTAGAGAAGCATTCTCTATTAACACATGCCTTAGTAGAATGTTGACGGATCGTCATCAAACTGAGATATGGTGAAAACTAACGAAATCATCGAGGTATGGTAAGCATTTTTTTTGCGAAAATACAACCTTTTCAGAACTTGCAGTATTTCAGCATAAAAATGCTCTTTTATATATGCTTTTGCACAAGACACCCAAAAAAAGAGCATTGGAGCTGGTTTTGAGGTAGTTATGGTCCAAAACCGATTCAGTTTATACGCTCTTCTAGTGATACGCTTTGGAAACATGATTTACTAGGTTAACCAGAGACTTAGATTCCACAAAAAATAGTGCCTCAAGACGTTTATTCGTTTACAAGAAGATCCGTCACCGCTTTCAGTGTCAATGCGAGTATTGTGCAGGCGATCTCAAATACCTGTTCTTAATTCAAATTTTATTGGATTGTTTTGTCCAATCAACTTTTTTTAAAGGTGGAATTTCCATTCAGACATGTCCGTCAAATTTCTTTCTCCTGTTTTCCATAGAAAAAAAAATGTCTGAACCTATTGATAACTTATCACCTGCTGAACGCGCTGCTAAAGAAGAGCAAGAAAGACTTGAAAAGAAGAAGGAAGAAGAAGAACAAGCCCAGTTACCATACACGTAAGTAGGTTGTTATGATAATAATAAAAAAAGATGCTTATTTAGCTATTAGTTGGAAGCAAACTCTTCAAGATGTCGATATCTCGATCCCTGTCCCAAAAGGTACTCGTGCTCGCGATCTTGATATTGTTATCAAAAAAACACAATTCAAAGTTGGACTCAAGGGCAAAGAACCAATTGTCGAAGTATATACATAATGTATATTTTGCTCTATCTAACATGATTGGTAGGGCGAATTATGTCAAGCCATTAAAGTGGACGACAGTACTTGGACCGTAGAAGATCAAAAAGAAGTCTTGGTTCATTTGGAAAAATCAAATCAAATGCAATGGTGGGAGAACGTTGTCAAGGGTGCTCCTAAGATCAATACACAAAAGATTCAACCCGAAAATTCTCAATTGAGTGATTTGGATGGCGAAACAAGAGCCATGGTTGAAAAAATGATGGTAGGAAAACGCGTAAATAGAAATACATACTAATGTTTTATTAGTTTGATCAACGTCAAAAGGCAATGGGAAAGCCTGATAGTGATACATTAAAAAAGGAAGAAATGTTTGCTAAATTTAAGCAGCAACATCCAGAAATGGATTTTAGCAATGCAAAATTCTCTACTGAATAAAGTTTAAGATAAAAAATAAGGGTTTTCCTAAATAACATGTTAGTTTCTGGAAAAAAAAAGAAGACATCATCCTTACTAATAATTGAGAAGCAGATGTGCGTTTGTTGGGATCTCTACTGAGTAATATCTTGATTAATTGTCGGGTATGTGGATTAGGAACAAGCTTGTCAAACTGAGGAATCTCAAGCTCCTTGCTTTCATTCCATCGAAGTCCGTTATTTAATATGGGTGTAGAAGGCGAGGGATGCGATACGAAATGAAGAATTGTTTCATCTTTGATTTTGCTAGGAAATAAGGCCTTTTTGGTCTCAAGTTCATAGATAACACATCCAAGGGACCAAAGATCAACGCTAGCAGTTGCCACGACACCATTTGCACCTTCTAATCCATAAGTAGTAGCTCGAGCCACTTCAGGGGGACAATACCTAGGTGTAATAACACCTACACATTCTTCTCCAATTGTACGGCTCGCCTCAAAATCAATCAGTTTCCATGGTTCTCCTTGGCGATGCATGATGTTACTGGGCTTCAAATCACAGAAAGCAATGCCATTATTGTGGCACCAAAATAAACATTTGAGAATGTCTCGAGCAATTCGGCCGTTGTTTTTGCTATGTTGTTTGTGTCGAATCCAAGTGTTGAGAGTCTCATCTAATCTTTCCATGACTGTAACATACTGTATATCTTTTCTTTCATCGTCGTGAACATGGTGTTGCTCATTGCCTTGTATAGTCAATACTTCCAAAATTTCAACAACACAAGGTGATTTTAGTTTAATGAGCGTACGGCATTCTCGCTCCCAAGCTTCTCTTCGTCCAAATGATTTAATAGCAACAGGCGCTAACTCGTTCTCACCTGCAATAGCAAACAGAATATTGTTGGTAGGACCAGTAATTGGTGGCTTTGCTTTGTCTATCTGATATCTATGAGGCAGTGCTGAAATAAAAGGCGCGAGTTGTATAAAGCCATCTGTTGAATGATTGCTGTTTTCTCGAGTCATACTTTTAACGATAACAGATGAATTATGGCGACTGCTACCTGGGGTATTCTCTAAACTGTTTGTTGGTTGTTGTCCAAGTGAAGCAAGTGCATCCAGTGGACTGACTGTATTATAAATATTGACTTGTGGGTTGCTCTTGTGCATATCGTTAGTGCTTGAGCTGTTGTTTTGACTACTATTCGTTGAAGTGCTTGGTGGAGTGACTGTTTGGGCCATTGGCATATTGAGTGTTGAAGAAGGATATTGTCCTTGCAATGGCTGATTATTGTGATGATGCACAAGTGATATTTGGAAATTAGGAGCATCTTTTGTATCCCATGTTTGCGCTGATGTAGCAGTGCTCAATTGATGTGAGTTGGGTGAGATATACTGGATAGGTGGTGCTGAATAAGGTTGACCAACAGAAAGTGAATCAGTAAAAGTCCAGTTCTCTTCTTGTTCTTCAAAATCAGGCGTTGGAACAGTAGTGTGGGTAAAAATGACACCACTTGTGTTCTTTCTTTTATCATCGGTTGAAGTTGTATTATCAAACTGACTAGCTCCTGTATGATTCATCATACTGCTTGCATTTGTTCCGATACTTCGCAAAACTTCCATAGAAGCACTCATAGGTACTATGTTTTCATCTGGCGTAATGGGTGTTGGAAGGCCAAGATGGTGGTGGACAGGAACCTGCCTTGTGTTTTGTTGTCTTATAGCAGGTATAGAAAATTCGTTGGGTTTCTGTGAAATAATCTCATTCGGCACTTGTCCTTGTTTAATGTACTCAGTTGGTGTTACCAGCAGAACTTTGGAATTGCGGAGAGATTCACGAGGACTACGAGACCCATGAGTAGCAGCCACAGTACCATCATCTATAGGGGTGATGGCTTCTAATACGCCTGTTACGACTCTATCACTATCACCAATTTCAGAAGGTCGAGTATACGAGTTGCGTGGACTGCTTGTGCCTGTCCATGCTTTTGACATGCGATGTGTGCTACGACTGTTGTTATTATTATTATTGATAAAGTAGCCACCATGGTGGGCAGGCCGTCTATGCTCGTTATCGTTATCATCATCATCGTCATTTGTGTTGTAAAAACCATCAGGATTATAGTAAAAAGGATTATCTTTTTTCGCTCTTGTTGCTTTGTATTCGTCAGAAAATTCTTCGCCAATGACAACCATGGCATCCTTGTCTTGTTGTTGCTGGCGTCTCTTCTTTCTGATGAACAAGAAGGCAATAATAGCTGCAATCAATATTAATCCTAACGCACTACCAACAGCTGCACCTGCAATGGCACCTGCGCTGAGCTTATTTGTTGCTTGTTGCTCATTGCCAGTTGGATCGTTGGACGTAGTGCTGTTAATATTGGGCAGAGCGTCATGAGGGTACCCGGTTGTAGCAATTCGTGTCCAACCCCAATTCACGTAATCAAGTACATACATATTAGAGTCATTAGAAGCGCTTAGGCCCCAACCACCAAATATATATATCTTTTTGTTTGGTTTATCTAATACAGCAGAATGCCCTAAACAAAAAAGATCAGCAATCGACAGCATATAACATAAAACACGATACTTACCCATTCTTGAATTAGGTCCTTGAGTTTGGTTTGCCATTGTAATTCTTTGCCATGTCATGGTAGGATAAGAAGTAGCATTCAGAACCCAGACATCTGTATCTGCCGGTTGATTAGTGCCACCGCCGTAAACAATCATCAAATCATCCAAGCAATTAGCTGTATGAAGTCTTCTTGCGCCTGGAGCAGAGGCACCAGCAGGAGTCTGAATTCCTTGAACATTCCATACTCTTTTACTAAGGTCATAAAGATTGACAGCCTATTTATACATTGAGCAACATATAAGGCAGTCTTGATTAAATATAAATACTTACATCTGTTACATCAGTCGGATTACCGGTGGGTGTTCCACCAAATGTAACCAAACAGTTGCAAGCTTTCAAATAACAAGTAGAATGATCAGCCAATCCAAGCCCATTAGAGCCAGACGACCATTGATAGCTATTTGCGTCCATCATGGATAAAGCGTTTTGGACAGCATTAGCATTGGCATAGCCATTTTGATCTACAGACAATCCACCATAAGTGTAAATGGTGTTATTGATCGTTAGCATTGAATATCCCACCGTTCGAGCAGACGCTTGGAAATCTGAAACCTCCCCATTGAAGGAAGAAAGAGTTTAGAAAAATTTATCAGTAGGTAACACACACTCACTTGTAGTTGGAAAACTCCATGACCAGCTATTTATATCTAATTTTTGTATTACGCCTGTTGCCGAGCCGCCAGTTGTATTACTAACAAGTGCAATGATCTGACCTTGGCTTGGTAGAGTAGTTGCTTTAAAGTAGATTTGTGGTAGCATAGTATTGCCTGATTGTGTCTGAATAGTAGGATGATACCAGGAGCCATTGCGTATATCCCAGACCCAGACATCGTTGGTGCCCATTACAGAAGTTGTGGGTGATGAGATTGAAATGTCTTGTGAGCCTCCGTAAAGAATGACATATGGATATTGGAAAGCTGTATACATGTATTAGTAAACCTTGACTCTTTCTATAAATAAGGGAAGTACCTGAAGCGTGTCCTGCTCTCCAAGGAACATTAGTTTGTATTATGCCTAGATCCCCAACCAACTGCGATTCTACTATGACTATTGTACAGAAAAAGAACAATAAAAAATATAATATTGAACTTCTTTTCATTGGGTATTTATTATATAATTATTATGCAAATGGCGCAATACTCTTTGACTGAAGAATATGCTTGTATAATACAGTGTTAGTAGATATATATATATATGTACAGAAGAAGAAAAAAGAAAAAGGAAAAGAAAGCAGGAAAAATGAGTATTTCTGTATACATATAGACCAAAGTATTCAAATTCAGACAATGAGAGGGTAATTAAATAAGCTCCTGATTTGCAGTTTATTAAGATTTTTGGAGACAGTTGCAGAATGTTTTTTTTGGAGAAAAACAGGTATGCCTTTTAGACTACTCGCCTTCAACAGCCTAGGCTTTTGAAAAGAGATTCATTCTTAGTATGGAGAGGTATCGAGACGTCAGCTGTTACCTATCAAAGATCCTTTTCTGTCCAAATTAAATGGCAAATATATCGGATTGTCATAATATAGGCCTGTGTTACAAGCAAAGAAGTCATGTCATTTGAAACATTTAGTGCTTTCCAGCTTCTCTTCGTTTGAGTATCCTCCAAAAAAAAAAGTATCTACCACATGAGTTCGAATTCCTTTGCATTTAACTGCAGCCTTTTCAAACATTCCAGCATTGAATACAGGGTTTTAGGTTGTATTCTATACAAAAGTAAATGAAAGAAAAGTAAGCGATGGCTAAGAAAAGGCACTAATGTCTATCATGTTACCTAACTTATTGAAGGTATACTGACAGCTTATACAAGTATGATGCGAAAGGCTATTGCATCGTTTTGCAACTTTTCTTCCTTTCCCCTTGCTCTCCTTTTCTGCATCCCATCGAGCAGTGTTAGTCCAAATTTGAGTCAGATATCAAAAGAAATGATAAGCGAAAGCAACCAAAGGCTTAACTCTTAAGAACCACTAAGGATGAATAGATTGTCATTCTAGCTTGAGCGCGCATAAATCTATAAACACTCTATCCATACTGCTTTTAAAATAGCTGCTATGTTTTGGATTTATACAACATAGATATGTGGTTTAATATGCTCTCCTATTTTCAAGGCCATGGAATGCGAAATACTATTTTATAGAAAGTGTTTTTCTTTATTGTTTTGGTGTATATGTAATAGGATGAAGTGTATTTGTGCGTGTGTATATATGTGTGCATGAAATTGAAATAAAAGCAGTATGTAATGATTGTAAAAGAGGGAAAGAGGAAGTATGTTAGGAAAGCAAGAAGCTATTCTGACCTTCATTCATGGATGTAATTAATCTCTGACGCAGAATTTCTTTGGTTGTATATGCAGGCATCTTGAAATAATTAGCACAGGTCATAACAGAGGGCAAGTAGTCGTCTGCAGTCAAAGGTGCTTCAGGTATCTTTCGAACAACGGTAAATATAGGACGGAGTGCTTTCCACCCGCCAATAGGAAGTCTAGGAGAACCAGTAGTGAATTGAAGAAATTGACGTCGTTCAATATCATTGAAATCAGATAGGATTTCTAAGAGATGTCGAACAGGATCACTGTCCATAGTAAACCCATGATCGGCTCGGATAGTGTCTGCTAAAATGGCATGACTCCAATCTTCTTCTGCTTTACCGAACAAGGAAACTAATTCATTCTCTGTCAATAATTTCAAGTCATCAATAGCAAATAAGCCGTTGAATCCCTCTCTAAATGCTGCGATTTGTTGAGAAATGCCTGAACCAAGAATTGCATCTTGAATCAGATCGATATATTCCTCTACGTTATTGATCGTAACATTAATGTCTGAGCCACCAGTCTAAGAAAAGAATGCAATGAGTCATTGATTCTTGTTCAATCTAATTGTATACCTTTAATTCATAACTGTCATCACCAGGAAGAGTAAAATCCAGACACAAGTCTTCCAATCTAGTATTGTCCACTACAATGTTTCTGACGGCCTTCGCCTTTTCTTCAGGTGACTAAAAAAAATAAGTACCATAGTGTTATATCCATTTCAACAAACCTTAAACAAATCATCATAAATCTCACGTTTTTGTTTGATATAAGATTCCAACATCTTGATAGACTTGGCTAGTTGAGGATCAATTTCCTATAAACAAGATTAAGGATCATCTATCATTAGTCATCTAACACACCTTTAATAGTTCAATACTAGGCTCAGCATTGCCCAATGCTACTTTAAAGAAGGCAGGGCTGAAAGGAATGTCTACAATTCTAAAGTCCAATAAGCCCTTTGCAATAAATTGACCCAAAGCTTTGAATAACTGGATAATCTTCTTTGTTGATCGAGAGCTTGACCTGGGCAATGTCTTGGGGAACAATCCAGCAGAAGCATCGACATAGCCTTCTTCTAACCGATTAGATCCACGCCACATATTCAACGAATGCTTGCTAAATTCCTTTGAAGTGGATGCATAGAATTCCAAAGTAGGACCCATACCGGTTCCTTTTTCTCCCATATACTCAACCTCAAGAACAGTAGGAGAGCTTCCGAAGAGATCCAAGATCTTAATGGCAGATTCAAGCATTTGGTTACGCATAATACGAACCTTTTGTCTTTCCATACGGCCTAAAGTAGGCTGCTCAGAAGTATCTGTACGCGTACCATTCTGGGAATTGTTACGCATTTGAAGACTTTGCCAGCGAGCAATCAGACGAGCATAGCCAAACGATGTGCTTTGAATAAAGAGATATCGAGTTTCAAAGGGAAAAAGGAAAGGGGCTTCACTCATTAACCAATAGATCCAAGAGGGCAAGCATGAGCTTGCGACAATCAAGGGCTCTTCTAATTGTCGATTGGCCTTGGCAGTCAACTTGCGGTTGATGAAGTCCTGTGCGGAGATGCCTTGTGGGTTTTTTGCAATAGCAGGGGACAAAGCCTTGAGAAGTTGAAGAGCATAGTTACAGGTAGAATCATCTTTAAGCTCTTTGGGTTGAATAACATCAGCCAATTGACGAACAACATTTGACTTTTTAGTTTCGTCTTCAGTTGTACTAGAAGCAGGTACCCAGACGCGCTCGTATGTAACAGGATAAGAAGATGCCCAAATATTGCGGCCCAAGTAAGTCGAAGGGCGATTAGCAGAATTCATTTCATACTGATGAACAGCAGCATAAACAGTGGAGTCGTTTGAAACAACAGTACCATTCAATGAGAAGCGGATCTTCCATTCGCCGTCCTTCTTTTCCTTCTTTGAAGAGCTGCTGGTAGCCTTGCCCTTTCTCTCGTTCTCTTCCTCTTCTCCTTCATCCTCTTCTTCTGTTTCGTGCTTCATAACAACAGTTTCGTCCATTTCTGTATCTACTAGATTTTCGTCATTCTCATCCACATCCATACTGTCATTTTCGCCTTCAATAAGTAGATGGTTATGCTCGTCCAATTCAACCTCATTTTCTTCATCATCTGAATGAGAAAGAGCAAAGGAAGCACTGATACGAGCTAACAAATAGTCTTCGAGCACACGGAAAGTAGCAACAGCATGTGTAGACACCATCAATTGTTTGTAACTTGTAGGGATATTATCACTTGTTCCAGTCAGTCTTAAGCGCAATTGTTTAGCAAGCATGCTTGTAGGATTACGAAGACTATCCGTAGAAGAAGATTCTAAAGGTGTTACAACCTCAAATGTTTCAAATCGACTCAGAATATCTTGTAAGCGAACTACTAGCTTCTTGAGTGAATTGTTGCCATCTTGGTCAATATCAGGTTCTTGAATAAATACACGATCAAAACCCTGAGTGCGTGTTTCCAAAGAAGACTTGAACTCTTTTGTTGATGTCAAAAAAGACAACAAGGCTTTCACTAGACCTGAGTTAATCAATTCGAAACTACTGATTCCCATAGCAGAATCATATAAATAAACTGAAAGTTCTTTCAAGGCTTGTTCGCAGGTAGAGTTAGTCGAAGATAAAAGCATGTTGGTAAGCTTGATGATTTCCTTCAAACTGTTGTTGGCTATTCCATCTTCGGCATTAGGTTTGGGGAAATAATGTTCAACAAAGTGCTGTGCTAATTGGATGATATATTTACGAGTAGATCCTCTTCCTATACCCTTTTCGTTTTCAAGATTGTGGTGGTGACGGAGTCTTTGTTGTTGTTGTAAAAAGTGATGGCTGCGCATGATAGCATGAAGATCATGGCCATCAAACAATCGACGACTTGATGAGGAAATACCAGAATGAGATGAGCCAGTGGCTAAACCATTCTTCTTCTTATTACTTGAATCTGTATCGTCCTCACTTTCGTCCTCTTCGTCCTCTTCATCGTCATCGTCCTCTTCTTTCTTTGATTCTAATGTATGTTCGTCACTTTCATCTACTGTAATTGTGGTATCTTCACTGCGTTGTGATGACAATTCTTTTTGCTTTTGTGGAGCTTCTTCTTCGACCAAAGGGAGTTTTGACAAAGATTCAATTTCATGCAGCACACCTTCTCGTTCAAACAAAAAGTGATAAACATCAGGCAGTCTTTGAATCATTAATTCTACCTGATAAAGAGCATCAATGATGAGTACAGGGTGTTCCTGGCGAGTAAGAATGCCAGACAAGAAGCTTGATAAAGGTACATTCTTTAGAACTTTGGAAAGAGTATCTTCTTGTGAATAGAATAGCAATTTGACGAGCGTATGTGTTACTAATTGACGTACGCGCAGATTAACAGTAGAGGCATACATGTCAAGCACAAGAGGAATCAAAATAGTGTCTAAATTGGTCAACACATCAGAATTCTCTCTAAACCATGTCACACGAGGATCAGCAGCATGATCAAGCGAGCGAGTACGGTCCGTAGAGGAGGACTTGAAACGTCTTGAACTAAACATATCATCCTTGGGTAAAGAAGGTAACAAGTCTACAATAATCTTCATGATAGTGGGTACAGAATCACGCCATTTAGAATCAAATACAATATGTTGATTAGTAGTGATTGAGGTAGGAGCAGAATTAGAACCAGTCAAGATTTGATAGAATGCTTCGATAATACCAAGCTTCAGCAGCTCGAAACTAAGCAAAGGTGATGCCTTTGAGATAGAACGAAAGATACGCAATAAATCATTAAACGTGGCTGGGTGTACTGCATTTGGATTGCCAGTGATTGGAATAAGACTAAAGAGAATCTTTAATAAATCCACAGTGAGTGCACGTTCCAAACACTCTCGGTTGTTGCGATAACTTTCTGAAATTCTGACCCAACAGAGACAAGTGAGTTCAACAATAGATCTGTCTGAATAAGTGATAGTGTTCATAAGAATTGGCGTGACTTCCATGACTTGAGAAAAGGATTCTAAATCAATACCACGCATACAATTAGAAGCAGTACGCAATGCTGTACGTTGGGCGTGAATACTGAAAAAGTCAAAGTACATGAGTACTGCGCTAAGGCCATCTTCATGTACAACTGCACGAGGAAGTTGAGCAGAAATTTTTTCAAGTGCCTATGTGTGTTATATTAGTAATTGTTTCGAAAAAAAAAGAAGCCATGGCTTACATAAAGGGCTTGCTCAGCCAAGTCAATATATTGAATAGATTTCAGTTTTTGACATAGAACACGAATGGCACCATGAGAAACAACACTTGTGATAGCAGTTGGCATAGCCTCTAAAAGGTTGGAGATACAGCGACAGGCAAGTAACATGACCTCAGGGTTACCACCGGATAGGCCTTCACTCATGGCTAAGGCAAGCATCATGTCTTCATCCATGTCCCCACCATCTTGTGGGATAAGATCATCTGTACCTTTCATGATACGAACAAGCTCTCTCGCAAAACTATCACTTGAGAAATAACCAGCTAGATTGTCTTCGCTACTAACAGACAATATCTCTGCCAATTCTTGAAGAGCAATCAATTGCATCGTTGGGTCGTCATTAGATTTGAGACTTGATAAAATAGACTTAAATCTTCCAAAATCTGAAGACATGCTACCACCAAACAAACCTTGCATTTGAAGGCCTAATGTTCTTCTTACGCGAGCGATTTCATCCATTTCATCGTCATCATCCTCATCTTCATCATCCTCTTCTGCTTCATCATGTTCTTCTTCATGATCATAGTGCATATCATCCTCATCCTCATCCTCATAATAGCCTTGGTGCTTTTCATGGTTGTAGTCATCCAGAGATTCGTCAATAATATCTTCGTTATTTGTCTTTTTGCTGATTAATTTCCTATAACGAGCTTAGTCATTAGACCATTTAGCTTAACTACTCACTTTTCTTCAGCCTTTTGTTTTCCTTTATTGTTTTCCATCTTTGTTTTCTTACTATTGGATGCTTCTTTTTGCTGTTGCAATTGTTCTTGTTCAAATTTTCGTTTCTGTGATCTAAAAAAAGTATAAGCAAACAAACAAAGTAAAAACTCAGTCAATCCCGCTCTCAATTACCTCGTTGTAGGTTTTGTAGGAGACTCTTTTCTGTTTCTTAAACTGTAGCGGTCTGTAGTTTCGAGATGAGTTTTGGAAGAGTCTTTTCTTGTCTTTCGTTTTAGTTGTCTGGAGTTCTGCTCCATAAGGTGTTGTACGCTTTAATTATTTTTTTTTTCAAATATAACTGATATTGCTTTCTCTCTTTACTTTTTTTTGAGATATATCTATATATCTTTCAAGCTGATTTTTTTTAAGAGACAAAGAAAGAGAAAGAAAAAAAAAAGAAAGGTGTGTAATTAAGAAATCCTGCAAAAGATAAATAGAAAAGAAGAAGAGAAAAAAAAAAGATGCTTTGTTGTTGTTCAGCTGCGAAAATGTGCTATTTCGTGCCCCCCAAAAAGAGTCACGATAGGAGTTTCTGAAGTTATAGGATAAAGCTTGTTTGTCATTACGATGACGAGAACAAAGGCTCGTATTACGCATTCTGGAATCTCAATCTGTATTATAAATCAAACATATCAAGCTGAAGGCAAGTATAGTCATCTTATAAATGAATGGGTTACTTTTTGACATGATCCGACAAGAGAAAGTAAAGCAATGATTGGAGAGCTTAGACTGCTTTTTCCCTAAAATCTGGATTTTTCGGTAAATTCTTACTTGACATGGCATGCAATTTACTTGATTTGGCAGGAACATACACAGGTTGGATGTTCTTTTAACAAGTCACTGTCCCCTCCTTTGAGAAATTTTTACTTTGGAAGAAACACAAACAAACCCTACAAATACCAAATATTTTCTTTTTTTTTTTCTCAAACTACATTATGACTAAGAGATTCTTTGAAGAGATTATACCAGGTTAATGTATACATTTGATGGGATAGAAGTTGTTGCAGACCAATGGCTGGAGAAACATGGATTGCATTAATTTTAGTGTAACACTTTGTGTCTTCCAATTTATCATAGAAAATAGCTGCTTACTTCTTTTCTTTTGGCTCATGAACATACAAAATGATTTTTTTCAAGTTGCCATTGATTATGGTGTGAATTTATGTAGCACTACCAATTTTTTATCTTTTAGTGAATTGAATCAAATAATGTACCTTGCTCAGAATAAGAAAGACAGCTACTGAAATTTCTGACCCTAACTGCTATACAATATTGAATGCTTTTCTAAAACTGCTTCTATCGAATAAATTATTTAAATATATACAAAACTATGCAAAGAGCCTAATAAAAACTCTGTCTTGAATACAATAAAGATTTGGACTACCTTTTTTTTAACTTCGGCGGGCTTTGAATGTAACATATTTTCAAGGTTCGTTCTCAGTTCGTTCTCAGTTCGTTCATGAACTTTCCTGAAATTTTTGAGAAAACATGGTCCAAAAGTGCACAGAAATGAAGAGCTATCAGAACTCTGTAGTGACAAAGTTGGTAGATATTGACAGGGAATATCTTCCGATGCAAAGAAAACAGTATGTTTGCTATCAAGTTATTAAGAGAACTCTCAGAAACCTACTTTAATGTTTCTGAGCTATGGCGTACACTTTTTATATTGCTTTTGGAATCCTGACACTTTAAGTGTATTTTCCAAGCTTAGAGAAGCATTCTCTACTAACACATGCCTTAGTAGAATGTTGACGGATCGTCATCAAACTGAGATATGGTGAAAACTAACGAAATCATCGAGGTATGGTAAGCATTTTTTTTGCGAAAATACAACCTTTTCAGAACTTGCAGTATTTCAGCATAAAAATGCTCTTTTATATATGCTTTTGCACAAGACACCCAAAAAAAGAGCATTGGAGCTGGTTTTGAGGTACAGTATTTTCGGAAAGTATTCGTGCACTAATAATTTTTCGTTTCGTGCAATAAAAATAAATAAATTGTGCGGACTTGGAAAACAATTTCGAGCAAAAAAATTAAAGTCATGGTGCAAAAGTAGAAAAAAGTTGGGTCAGAAATAGTTTTTATTTAGTGCAATTTTATATTCTACGTAGTTGAAAATGAGTAACTTTGTTTATGAAGATGGAAACGGAAACCTAACAAATGAGAATGAAGAAGAGCATCTTGAGTTTGCAATGGAAGTGGATGACGAAGCTTACCCCTTAGGAGATGTTACAGATTTCGCAATGTACACTGATCTCAAGCCTCCTGAAAAAGCAGCCAAAGATGTTGTTATGAAGACTGAAAGCAACACCACAAACCCTATTGCGGGAGATGTTGGTGGGATTTCTAAGAAGACCTATCGGAAGTACAAACCTGAGGACAAGAGTAACTTCTTTCACTTAGTGTATGAAAAGAATATGAGTGTCCGAGGTGCTGCTAAACAGCTTGGTATACCACCAACGACAGCACAAACATGGTTCAAGCAAGGAGAGGCGAGCTTGGAAAAGGACAGTGAGGTCGCTATGGAAAGGACTGTAGATGGTAAGCGGAAGCTTGGAAGACCTGCAATCCTCAATGATGCTCATAAGGAGTGTCTGATTGAAGCTATTGATGAAAGGCCTGAAATGGTCTTGGAAGAGATGATGGAGTGTCTTACGAGTAGCTTTGAGGATCTGAAGATTTCAAAGACTGCTTTGTATGAGTTTGTCACTACAAAGTGCAATCTCAGCTTCAAGCGAGCAAAGCTTTATTCAGTTGAGCGAAATTCTCCTGAGAAAATTGAAGCTAGATATCAATGGGTGAAACACTGGGAAGAGACTGACATGGATTATATGAGCAACTGCGTTTTTATTGATGAATCTGCATTCCATATCAACTTGAAGCGCTCTTATGGTTGGTCTAAAAAAGGTGATCCGGCCATTGTCACAGTCCCCAAGACAAGGGCAAAGACCACGACTATTCTTGGTGCTATATCTGCTCACGGTGTTGTCAATATCAAGATCAAACAGCCCAAGGTAGCGGAGCCCGCAAAGAAAAGAAAGTTGACAGGAAAAAACTCAGCTGTCGCAAACAAGGGCAAAGGAGGAACAGTGACTGGCCATTACTTCAACTTTATTGCTAGTACCTTGGATATTTTGGATCGTCACGAGATCTTCAAGGATAGCTATATAGTCATGGATAATGCGCCTATCCATACGCACCAAGACATAAGAAAGTATATAGAAAGCAGAGGATATGGCTGCGTCTACCTTCCTCCATATTCACCAACCCTTAATCCTATTGAAGAATTTTGGGCTGTTTGCAAGAGCAAGGTCAAAAGAGAGAAACTTTTGAAAGAGGAAACACTCACCTCCAGAATAACAGACGCCTGTAACAAAGTCCTTTTGAGCGACTTGAAGGGGTTCTGTAGACATTCTATGTCTATGTTTGATGATTGTTTGAACAGAAAGCCAATCTAATAAACATTAATTTCGTGCACCATGCATGAATTTTTTGATCCAACTTTTTTCTACTTTTGCACCATGACTTTAATTTTTTTGCTCGAAATTGTTTTCCAAGTCCGCACAATTTATTTATTTTTATTGCACGAAACGAAAAATTATTAGTGCACGAATACTTTCCGAAAATACTGTATTTAGGGGCTAAATCAGCTGTCATACATGCAAAAAACCACATTAATTTAAATTTAGTTAAAAAAAAGGAGGATTCAAAAAACAATTTGAGGGGCTTAGCAGCCACTATTGTTGGAGGCAATTCTAAAGATCAAAGTAGAAAAAATAAGATAAGATTTGTACCTTCTTTTGTTCATTCGTCCTCTGCGCAAAAGAATAATCCAGTAATCATTGGGTTTCAAAGTGACCGTTTTCCCCCAAAAGGGAATGCCAAAAAATCTCTTCGCTCTGTATTCAACGTCAATGCCGCCTATTTTAGTTTGTCGTACGCAATAGATCAGTTTTTTTTCTTTTTCTTTCTAAATCCTTTTAACAGCGGAAAATAAAACATCACCATGTCAGACTCAGAACTCGACAAGAGTTCGATATCAGTCAAGCGAGCTAGAGAAGCTAGCTTTGGTGAAGAAGAAACAGTCAAAGTAGAACCAAAGGATCAGCTCAAGATGGTTGCTCAGTTGCAGGAACAATATTTCCAGGATGGAGAGCTCTGGTGCCTTGTCTCTAAAGCATGGTATACGCGCTGGAAATTATACTGCTCTCGATTAAATAGTCCTCAGCAAGAATCCAGAAACTTAGGAGAAAGAACACATCCAGGTCCTGTCAACAACAAGACACTCTTGCAAGACGGTAAACTTATTAAGGACTTAGAACTTGAAACAGATGTCTATGCTGTACCCGAGCAAGCTTGGGAGTTACTCGTAGAATGGTAATTTGAGAGAGGGAGGCAAATGTCTGTATTGACACATGTTTAGGTATGATATTACAGCGGAAGATAATGAGCCCATTCGACGTATGGTCATCACGGTCGACAATCAAAAAACAATCGAAATCTATCCTCCTGAGTTTAAGCTTTATGCCGTACAATTTAGTGAAAACAGCAACTGGACTGATTTAACGCGTTGTCCTACTTTTGTTTTATCCCAAACAAGTTGTGTCAGTGATTTTGTGAACGCTGTCAAAAATACTTTTGATTTGACACCAGACACTGAGATTCAAGCCTGGAATTTAAAGGAAGCACCTCTTTTAACAACATTGCCCAACATTCCTGTTTCTGTACTCAGTCAAGCTGGGCTTTTAGAACTTCAAGAACCAGACTTAGTATTAGGTCGTTCTGGTGAATTCCATATTGCTGTTGAAATCAAAGACAGAACAACACTCAAATTCCCATCTGAACAGCAACAACAACAACAGTCTGATTCATCTTCTGTATCATCTACCTCGAGTATATTTGCCAATGGATTTAATAATTTGACTACCTCTTCTTCTAGAACTACACCACCACCACCACCACCTCTTTCCACACCCAAGAAATTCACTCGTGGTGTCTGTGGTCTTCAAAACTTGGGTAATACCTGTTTTATGAATTCAGCACTTCAATGTCTCAGTAACACAGCTCAGTTGACAAAATGGTTTTTGGCTGACAACTATAAGCGAGATCTAAACAGAGATAATCCGTTAGGTATGAAGGGTCAAGTGGCAGAAGCATTTGGTGAACTAGTACAAAAGTTATGGAGTGGTCAAGCTAGTAGCATTGCACCTAGAGATTTCAAGTATACTATCGGTCGATTTAATTCTTCATTTAGTGGATATCAACAACACGATACACAAGAATTGCTAGCATTTTTATTAGACGGTCTTCATGAAGATTTGAACAGAATCCTTAAGAAGCCTTACATTGAATTGCCTGACTTTGACGGTATGAAAGATGCCGAAATTGCTAAACGTAGTTGGGACTATCATAAGGCAAGAAATGATTCCATCATTGTTGATTTATTCCAAGGTCAATTCAAGAGTAAGCTAGTGTGCGAAGAATGTCGAAATGTAAGTAGTTATGGTCTATCATTGTTGTTCATTTGTTTCTAGGTGTCTGTTACATTTGACCCTTTCATGTACTTGTCTTTGCCTCTTCCTATCAAGAAAAAGAGCAAGACAACTATTGTTTATGTTCCTTATGATCCTTCACAACAATTAAAGCGTGTGGTTGTCACTTTAAGTAAGGAAGCAAGCATTGCCCATCTTCAAAAAGAAGTAGCAAGAATGATGTCTGTTGAAGACCCTAATTCAGTAAGGCAAAGACAAAGCGACATGCTTGTGGTATTTATATTCTTTCTATAGCTTCTCGTTGTGGAGCTTTTTAGTCACAAAATCTACAAAGTCTTTCCTCAATACGAGCCTGTGGCCACCATTGGTGCTTCTGATATCATTTATGTCTATCAACTTCCTGGTCCTATACCTCCTCTTCCTAAAAAGAAGGCAAGATACTCTTACAGTCGATACAGTTTACCTGATGAAGATGACGAAGAAAAACAACCTGTAGACGAAAATCAGCTTATTGTTTTTCCTGTTTATTGTGCCACTGTCACAAAGAATGAAGATTCCTATAGTAATGGACCCAAGCAATTTGGTGATCCTATTATTCTTGCTGTACCTCGTAAAGATGCCAACAAGCCTGAATTATTATATCATTTGGTATCTCAACATGTAGAGCGTTATACACAATTCAAGTTGTTTGAGGAAGTTAAGGATTCTGTTGAAGAAACCAAGGACTCAGTTGAAGAATCAGCAACAGAAGATGATGAGCCGCCTGCTTATGAAGCTGTAGTATCTGAAGAACAGACTAATGAAACCATGGACATTGATACTCAACAAAACAATCTTATTCATACTGCTGCCGCTGTTACTGCTGCTGGAGGCAAAAGAATAGAACCTATGAGCAACTTATTTACAATGAAAGTCTTTTCTGCTCCTCGCTATGGCAGAGGCCTTGAAGAGTTACTACCTACAAACCAAAATTGGTCTGGTTTAATTGATCTTGTTGAAAGAGCACAAGCTGAACAAAAGCAACTGGAAGAATATCTTTTGAAAAACGAATCCAAATCAGAAACTGAGTCACCTCAACAGGATACAGAAATGGGAGATTCTCTTGCTTTACCTGCCAAGATGGAGGATGAAGATCAAGAAGAAGAAGAGGCGGAAGTAGAAGATGCTGCTGCCTTATTTGCACAAGATAGTAAATCTGAGCATGATGAATTAGAGGAAAATACTTCTCTTCATTCAGATAACAACAGTGATGAATTGATGTCTAATGTCAAGTCCGTCTTACCCATCCCTCAACCTGTTGATACTCCTACTTTACCTAAGCGTAAAGTCAGTTGCCCTCCTAGTACTATTATTCGTCAAGGTGAAGGTATTCTTCTCGAATGGACACCCAAAAAAGCACAACAATTGTTTGGTGCAGATCGTCACAGTAGTGACAGCGGTGTATGCACTGATGCTTGGGAAGAAATGAATGACTTGGGTGATCCCAACGATGATGACATGAATCAATCTCAACAAAAGAAACAAGTGACACTTGCAGATTGTCTTGATGAATTCACAAAAGAAGAAGAATTAAGCGAAGAAGATCTTTGGTATTGTCCCAGATGTAAAAAGCATCAGCGTGCTACCAAGAAGTTTGATCTCTGGCGCATGCCTGAAATTATGGTAGTTCACTTGAAGCGTTTTAGCCATTCACGTACTTGGAGAGACAAGATTGATGCTCTGATTGATTTCCCTACATCTGAGCTTGACTTGACAGACCGAGTCTTGAGCATTGAAGACCCTACAGCTGTAAAGGAAGAAGATAGATTGATTTATGATCTTTATGGTGTCGATAATCATTTTGGTGGTTTAGGTGGTGGTCATTGTAAGTAAAACATCCATCAATTCCAACAAGACTAACTCTAGAACTAGACACTTCTTATGCTCAAAACTTTGAAAATGGAAATTGGTATAATTTTGATGACTCGCATGTAAGCAAAGTAGATGTTTCTGAAGTCAAGGTAAGGAATACAGATAGTTGTATAAACATTTACTCAAAGGAAAAAAAAAGACCACCGCTGCATACCTTTTGTTCTACAAGCGTAGAAGAGCTGCAGATAGCGAATCCTCTAAATCAGTAGAGGAGATCATTAGAGAAACTAAAGAAAAGCAGCAGGCTGCTGAAGATCAAATGGTTGTTTTAAAAGAACAAGACGAACGACCTAATTATCTTTTAGCTTCAGACAGGGAAAGTACAACTATAGATGAACCACCTGCCATCTTGGCCACAAATAGCAATGACAACAGTAGTCAAAGTAGTAATCATAACAGTGATATCGAGCAAGACAACAACACTGAAGATAACTTAAACTTAAAACAGTTACTCTAATAAACTCGATTATCTTCCCTCCTTTTTTATAATACATATAAAAAAAAAGTCGGTGAACAATGTTTATTGAAATTTACATAATTGAGACGTTTAAGCAGCTTGCTTCTTGGCAGCAGCAACAGCAGAACCGAGAGTGAAACGACGCTAAAGACGAAATTAGTAAACACGATTACAATACTATAAAACTTACTTGGTTCTTGAGCTTGGCCAACTTGAAACGGTCAAAGTCAGACAAACCAGCACGAGCCTTACGTTGTTCGAGCTTCTTGGCCCAGGCAGTCTTGTTCCAGGCAGCAACAGTTTCGTTCTTTTCCAAAGCCTTGGCAAGGGCAGTCTTACCAACGTTACGGGGAAGGTTCTTGAGGACAAGAGGAGTCAAGACCAAGCGCTTGTAAGGGAAAGCTTGACGAACAACACCGGTGGTAGGACCGTCGATAAGAGCACGGTTGTGATCAATAATGTCAACAATAACAGCCAACTTGCCGGCGTCAACACCGTGGTTAATGAGGACAACACGACCAACTTCGACTTGACGCTTGAAAGTACCTTGCTAAAAGAGAAAAATTAGTCATTGTACAAAATATAGATGAGAAAGAGAAAACAAACAACTGAGGATCAAGAAAGGACTGGAGTAGTATTATATATATGCTGTTCAATTTGATCTTTTGTATATGTGTGTATATACAATTGTTGTGATTTATACATGAATTATATGGCGTATATAAGTTCGAGAAATTTGATCTGTTCTGTTTTATCAATTCATCCATCCATTCCAGCTTTCTTTTGGGGGTGATCCATCAATTGCTTGCTTCTTCTCTTCCTCTTTCAGTCATTTGTAATGTATGTATACATACCACCATGGTTGATATTCTGGATGGTCTAGAGAAAGAGAAAGTATGCGTATGGTTGCACCTGCTTACTTCGTTTTACAGCAGAGAACAAACACCGCTTCACTTGACATGGAGGAACCTCTTGAGCCGGATATTGTCCGGGCCGAGAAGCTGTCTCCGATTTTGCATGATTTTTTTTTTTTTTTTTTTTTAAGTTGATGACAATAAATAAATTTATTAGATTTAACCATTCAGTTTTTTCCATTGAGTGTTCATAGCTAATGCCGAGGTGATCATACTATTTATAGAGTGAGTATTTAAAAAAGGAGAAATCAATGGGTTGATAAGAAACTTACCCAGCTAAACCAACAATTCCTTCATCAACTTTCAAATAACCTAAACCAGCAGAAGGAATAACGATATCAACAGCATCTTGAATAAAAGCATATCTAGTGTTGTATTTATCTCTAAATAATCAAATGAATATAAGTCTTTACTTATTCTATACCCCTCCCTTATTACACTTACTGTGCCAATGCTTTTTCTTGTGCCTTTAATTCAGCAATTTGAGCCTCTGATTTCTCTTCAGTATTGACAATGGCCTTACGTGACTTTTCAAGCATATGTTCACGAACTTTCAGTTGCTTTGATTTATATAAGCCAGAAAGAAGGGATGCAGCGATAGCAAAGAACCAACACTTTTGACCAAACTCAGTAATTTGCTTAATATTAGAAATCTTATAAAAGTTGATTGAATTGGACTATATCGATAGAATTAGACCGATTCACGCACGCTTGATATACTTTACCAAAACAAACACTTCACTCATATAGTAAAAAAACATACCAACTTGTTTAGCAACAGTAGTATAACGCAAAACTTCATCCTTAATAGTCAAGCTTTTGACACCAGTTTGAGCAAATTCAACAGGCTTCAAGAGACGGAAGAACTTACGACCGTTACCAAGGTGAGTCTTAAGGTCAACCCAACGTTGAACGGTTTCCTTGGGAGCACCGTTACGGAAAAGGTAAAAGGCATAAAAACGAGCAAAGTATTGCACAAGACGACAAAGTTTTTCACGGCCTACAGTAGTATTTAAGTAACGGTTGAAAGCGTCAACGTGTTGGTGAGTAAGGACCATGTTATTAAATAAAAAAGAAATGAAGAAATAGGAGAGAAGGGAAACGTTGTGTGAGTAAATAAGGGAGAAAAGTTCGTGACAGTTTTTTCCCATACAGGGTTTTGTTTATGACTAAAAGAGTAACACAATTATACCTTTATCATATGCGAATCTCTTGGTATTTTTCAAAGCTGAGACAATAACATCAGTGAATTTGAGAAAGCGCTAAGAATAGGCTGAAGATAGCTTAAAAGCATAAAATGAGAAGAGCTCAGAAATAATTGAGGTTTGAAGAATCTTTATCAGAGATACTGATTAGTTGAAACAAAAATATAAAACGAAAAGAAAGAATTATTTCTCGTTGTCTTTTTGTTCTTTTCTAAAGAAAAATGGCGAAAGTGGATGAAAATAATACAAAAAGATAAAAGAAAAGACAAGTCGAAAATGAAAAGATGTGACTCAGAAGATACACGGTTGGGTTTAAACTGCAATATCAAGTCCAGACTGTGACCAGATCAAGGGACGATTGTATAGCAATAACAATGATTTGGTTTCATACGCACACTCTAGTGCCCGCATAAACAATTGGCCACCTTTGCATAGATGCGTTCAAAGCGAAGAAGATGATAGCTCAAATAACATTTGATAAGCACAAATAAGAGAATTTATTTACCTAACATGCCTTTTTCACCTGGTCATATCTATAAATCTATAATATTACTTTATAGGTATGCTTTTTCTTTATGACTTTTATAGACTAATTGTATAGACCAAGTGATAATAACCATGCTTTTGAAGTATGTACAAATTTAGTAAAGTGCACAAACTCGAAAAATGGGGTTTTGTAATACTCTTTATCAATAAAAAAAAATCGCGTGATTACTTATTTAATCATCCACCAAAGTTCTCCAAGTTTCCAAATGGCCTCTTAACTTGTTGACATGCTGATCAATTTGATCAGGCTTTTGAATCTTGAGTTCATTCAAATAACGTTTGATAGCAATAGCTGCTTCGTCAGACTTTCCACGCACCATTGCCTTTTGATTAGCAAATGTCTTGTAGAGATAGTTATGAATCCAGTCAATATGAGCCTCAGTATAGCCTAATTTTCGATAAGCATCATGCTCTTTTTTACGCCAGAAATGGGCAAACGAGTCTTTAATATCCAGATTCTTAAAATCAATATCTTGGATTTTGTTTGTTGCCTGTGCAGCAGCATTGGAGACTTTAGACATCGCTGAATGAATACTACGAGAGTGAGCCATTGACTTGGAAGACGAATGCCAGTCTTCAGAAAGAGAACTAGCAGCTGATTTGATTGATTCAGTAGCATGTTTAGTGATATATTTGGGCTTTTTGATTTGATCAATGTGCAACATATGATACAGGCGAGCTTGGAGGTTTCTTAGAGAAGTTCGAATACGTTCCCAAAAGCCTTGACAACAACACTTGGCATATTCGTACCAATTTTTAGCATGTTCTTTGGCCTGGCCAGTATATTCCAGACCGAATATTTTGAAACCATAGACATCTTTCTTGATGGAGTCAAGCACATTACTGACTTGTTCTTTTTTCATTTGTGTCTTTTCAGAAATAGACTGTGCCAAACTGTCAACCCATGCGCTATCACCCAGCTTTTGAAGGTCTGTGTTTTCTATGCTTGTACGGACTTGTTCGGCAACATTTTGGGCTTCTTCTTTCGTCATGCCACCAACGTGTGAGATACGATCAGCAATAGACTGAAACCATTTATTAAAAGAAGAAGAGCCGTCTTCTACATCAGATTTGGCGCGAAGGACGCGTTGATACCAGGTAGGTTGTTGATAATGTGATTCAAACTTGGAATAAGCCTTCTTCCATTCGGCTTCAGTAAGGAGTTTTTGACGAATAGCTTCCGTATGCGCCTTATCAAGTACTTGTTTGACATGTTCTTTGGAGAGCTGCCCCTTCAGTTCTAATTGACGGAGTTGGTGTTTTAAGTTTGTAATGAAACTGTCAACATCATTCTGTGCAAGGTGGGAGTTTTTTTTGAGATCAATATTGAATCCCGAGACAATTTGGTCAACACTGTTACCAAAATATCTTACATTTGCTTCAGCAGCATCTTTATAAGCTTGTGCAATCTCAACAAGGGATTCCTGGCCTTGGTTTTTATCATAGGTAATCTTGTACTTGTCAAAATACGAGCCAAGGGTCTCCTTTGTCCACTCAAACACTTCCTCGGTTCGCACTACGCATAAGTGAGTCGGATATCATTCTCAGAGAAAAAAAACTTACCAATTGCCCAAGAAGAGCCTACAAAAAGCGCAACACATAGATAAATAAACAGTAATATTTTCATAATAATAAAGAAAAAAAGAAAGAAAGAGGCAAATACCAGCTAAAATGAAGTATGTAGTGTTTCGGTCAAATTCAGTTCATACATCATTGTGATCTAATCTTTATTTTTCTGTCTCAGATCATTGTTCCTAATTTGCATTTTTGAAAGAATATACTGTCTTCACATGATTTTGGTGATTTGGGGGTGAAAAGAAGAGAACGCTTACTGCATGTTTTTGGGTGGCCTTTGGTCACACAGACATTGCTTAGCCTAACTTTCGAATGAAATGTTTACACAACGTATTGTACTAATGTGGCATAATTCTCAAGATATGATAGGAACAATAAAATCCATTGTTCTTATCAAAAAAGAAGAAAGCGTAGTTAACCTTTTATGTTTCTGCGGACAAGTTTTGATTTGTTTATATTTATCTATTTGAGCGAATGAAATTCAATTATGTATCTTTTGCTGAAAAAGAAAAAGGGATTAACATAATATATCGTACGCAATTTCCTATTGGATGGTTACACCCCAACGGTGCCCCCATCACCCAACAATTCAGGTTTGAATTTTAAATTTTTTTTTCATATATAAAAGCCATGATAATTCAACATCTATGTCCCGAAAGTTTAGTTCTCTATTGTCCTTATCTTTTTATATATATACTTACTTGTAGAAAACAAAAAAAAAAGAAAGAAAGAACATACATAGAGCAACATAACCAACAACAATGTCTACCACACAAACAATTGCTTCAATTGATCGCACAAAGACGGAGTCTATGAAGCCTCCTCTTCCAAAGACAAAAATGCCTCCTCTCTTTGACCAACCTGTTACCTCAAAGAATTGGACCAAATTCGTCAACTGGCCTCAATCTATCTTGCTTGTTGCTACTCCCTTAATTGCTCTCTATGGTATTTACACAACTACATTGACAAAGAACACTTTGATTTGGGCTATTGTCTACTACTTTATTACTGGTCTCGGTATTACTGCTGGTTATCATCGCATGTGGGCCCATCGTGCCTATCGTGGTACCGATCTTTTACGTTGGCTCTTTTCTTTCGCTGGTGCTGGTGCTGTCGAAGGTTCTGCTTATTGGTGGTCAAGAGGTCACCGTGCTCATCACAGGTATGTAATTATATTTCTTTTATGGAGTGTTTAACAAAAAAAAATTTTCCCTTCTAGATGGACTGATACCGATAAAGACCCTTACAGTGCTCACCGTGGTTTCTTCTTCTCTCACTTTGGCTGGATGTTGGTTCAACGTCCCAAGAACCGTATTGGTTATGCTGATGTTGCTGATCTTAAGGCTGATCCTATCGTTGCTTTCCAACATAAGTACTATCCTTACTTTGCTCTCGGTATGGGTTTCATTTTCCCTACTTTAGTTGCTGGTCTTGGCTGGGGCGATTTCAGAGTAAGTTTAAAATACCGAATGAAGAAGAACATGTTGTGTTAATATGTATCTATAGGGTGGCTTCTACTATTCTGCTGTCCTCCGTCTCGTCTTTGTTCACCATGCCACTTTCTGTGTCAACAGTTTGGCTCACTACTTGGGTGAAACCACTTTTGATGATCACAACACTCCTCGTGATAGTTGGGTTACTGCTATTGTTACTTTGGGTGAAGGTTATCACAATTTCCACCATCAATTCCCTCAAGATTACCGTAACGCTATCAAGTACAACCAATATGATCCTACCAAGTGGTTGATTATTGTTCTTTCCTGGTTCGGTCTTGCCTATGAATTGAAGCAATTCCCCTCTAATGAAGTGACAAAGGGTATCATTTTCATGCAAGAAAAGAAGATTCAAGCTGAAAAGGCTAAATTGAGCTACGGTACTCCTTTGAAAGATTTGCCTATCTATACTTGGGACGAATTCCAATCTCTTGTTTTGAACCAAAACAAAAAGTGGGTTTTGATAGAAGGTGTCCTTTACGATGTTGGAGAATTCATGAAAGAACACCCTGGTGGTATGAAGTATCTTTCTACAGCTGTCGGTAAAGACATGACTACTTCTTTCAATGGTGGTGTCTACAACCATTCTAATGGTGCTCGTAACTTACTCACATCACTTCGTGTTGGTGTTCTCTTAAACGGTATGCAAGTAATGACCGAAGCAGATGCTGCTGCTCCTACTCAAGCCTCTGCTTATGATGATTCACTTGAATATGATACCAAATCCGCTCAATTCTACAAGAACAAGTAGAAAACCCAAAAAAAAACAAATCATTCACTTTAGCATTTCTATATCCATAACATTTTCTTTTTTCTCGTACATATATTATACATTTAAATAAACAATTACATTATGTAAGCTATGAAATTCCCTGTCAAAGTTTTTTTTTTTTTAACTTTCGGAGTGTACTACAGTATTTCTACTTCAAATTCAGACGATGTTAAATTTTTTTTGGACGAATACAATTTTATTTTATTTTTTAAAATGAAGGAAATGAGATTACAAGCAGAGTCCGAGCAAGACATTCCCTTTCAGTATATTAGACACAAAACGATAAATTGTGGAGACAACTTGAGGGACACCAGAGAATAGTACCGATTGAAGTGTGCAGCCTAAAATAATCAATGCATCAACTGAACAAACTCAACCAACCAAAGGAACTTTTACTACTGTCACATTCGTACCTGTATCCCATTTTCCTATGTCTATCCCACAAATATGATGAAAATATCGAAGGCCGCTTGGATGGGAGAAGGAAGACCAGAACCATTTAAGCGAGAGAAAACCAATGCTTAAAAAATATTATAAATTTGGTAAGAGCCTTTTATGAGAGCATTAAAGTTATTCTTATTCAAATTTCTGCTGAAGTATCGCCGTAGCAAACACGGCTTTCTTTTCTTCGGAAAGGATGAAGATCATTACAGGTAAAAAGTCTAAACATAAATTTCTATTCGTCCAAAAAAAATTTAACATCGTCTGAATTTGAAGTAGAAATACTGTATTAAAATGAAAATCCAGTACCACCCCTGTGAGTTAATTTTTTTTGTAATAAAAAAGCTTTCTCTATTTACCCGTTTTTTTCCTTTTATCTTTTTTTTTTTTTTTTTTTTTTTTTCATCTCGAGAATTTAATATTCAGCCTTCCTTCTGATGCAATCAGCTAGCCGAATTTTGAGAGGTAAAAAAAAAACAATAATAAGGAAGAAAAGAATCTGACCAAGATATGATCATTAGCTGCTTCTCGTCAAGCTCCTATTGTACGACGTACCTTTCAACAAACAAGATTAAACTCTACTGTTGCCACTGAAGCACCCAAGAAAGGTTATTCAAAGTGGAAAATTGTAAAGAACACAGCCAAATGGGGTACTGCAGGTTTTGTTGGTTACACTTTTTATTGTAAGTGTGAATTGTATGTTCCAGAACATGATATACTAAACGTGTATAGCCATGTATGAACACCTTCATCCTACCACAAACCCTACTCCTTTTGATCCTAGCAAGAAGACCATTGTTGTTCTCGGTAGTGGCTGGGCTAGTACTTCATTCTTAAAGGCTATCGATACCGAGCTTTATAATGTTGTCGTTGTTTCACCTCGTAACTACTTTTTATTCACACCTCTTTTGCCTTCCTGTACTGTCGGTACTCTTGACTTCCGTTCTCTCGTTGAGCCCATTCGTTTCATTACTCGTCACAAGCTCAGTGAAGTCAAGGTCTATGAAGCTGAATGTACTGATATCGATGCTGAAAAGAAACAAATTACTATTGTCGGTAAGTGATAATGAAAGGAGCGAGAGAATATTTGATTATGTCATGATGATTGGGAATGATATTGACGTTTTACACAAGATAACTCCGAGATCAAAGGTGAGAACGAGACCAGCACCATTCCTTATGACTACTTAGTCATCGGTATTGGTGCTCAAAGTCAGACTTTTGGTATTAAGGGTGTTGAGGAATATGGCTGTTTCCTTAAGGAAGTTTGGGATGCTCAAAAGATTCGTACCAAGTTAATGGATTGTATTGAAACTGCTGCTTTCCCTGGTCAATCTCCCGAGGAAATTGACCGTTTGTTGCATATGGTCGTTGTTGGTGGTGGTCCCACTGGTGTTGAATATGCTGCTGAACTTCACGATTTCTTAGTGGATGACTTGACAGCTTGGTATCCTGGTAATGTATATAAGGAGAAAAAAAAACTGGTCTAATATGATTTGTAGAACTCGCTGGTAAGGTCAAGATTACTCTTGTCGAAGCTTTACCCAACGTTCTTCCTGCTTTCTCTAAACAATTGATTGATTACACCGAATCCACCTTTAAGCAACAAAACATTCAAATCCACACAAAGACCATGGTCAAGGAAGTAAAGGAAAAAGAAATCATTGTCCAAGGTCCCAATGGTGAAAAGGAAGCTATGCCTTACGGTCTCTTGGTCTGGGCCACTGGTAACACATCTCGTCCTTTGGTCAGAAACTTGATGGCGAAGTATCCTGAAGCTCAAAATATCCGTCGTGGTTTGGCTGTTGATGACTGGCTCAGAATGGCCGGTACTCAAGATATTTATGCTCTTGGTGATGCTACTGCTACCAAGTATGCACCCACAGCTCAAGTTGCTGCTCAACAAGGTAAATACCTTGCTCGTGTCTTTGCTCAACTTGCTGCTGTTGAAAAGCACGAAGCCGAATTGGAAAGCGCTACTGATGAAGAAAAGGCAAAGAAGCTTCGTAAGTTGCAAAAGGCTCAAGATATCAAACCTTTCCATTACTCTCACCAAGGTTCCCTTTGTTACATTGGTTCTGATAAGGCTATTGCTGATTTACCTCTTGGTCCCGGTAACTTGGCCTCTGGTGGTGTTGCTACTTATGCTTTCTGGCGATCTGCTTATATCTCCAACTTGTTCTCTGTCCGTAACAAGTGGTTGGTCATTACTGACTGGACAAAGAAGACCCTTTGGGGCCGTGATATTTCTAGAGAGTAGATTGCTTTCATTATTACATTCCTTTTTGCATTATAAGATAAATTCCAGGATTTTTTTAATTTATTTCAGCTATTTTTGTGAAGTCCATTACTCGATCAACACTTGACTTCACCTCTCGAAACCTTGAGGAGATAATAGTTGTGATGTTTGTTTGATGAAAAAAACAAAAAACAACAATGAGCATGGCTGCCTTTGGCATCAATCACAGCTTAATATTGGTCGGTCATATTGTCGATTAAGCATGTAGTAGTATGAATGTGATGATTTGAAGCAGTTATACAATTAACAAGATAGTAGTATTCAACTACTTCCTCGTATCTGTGTAAGTATTTTACATAGTCTGGTTAATATATGTTACTCTTCTATTCCCTGCTCTTTATTATAGCTAATGTAAGTGGCAATATAAACATTACTTATTTTTTTTGATAAAGTGTAAGGTACTCTATACAATATTAAATCTATGTATTCATATAAAATAGGAAAAACTTACTCAGTTGTACAATAAAGACATTGGTTTGTTTTCATGTCAAAGTATGCATTCAAGTGAGCTTAATGAAATACCCTTAAAAGGAATTTTCAAAAAACAAATGACCCAAAACATTCGCGTACTATAGATGCATGATTACATGAATGCGTAAGGGCTATTTATTATGGTTTGTTGTTGTTGTTGTTGTTGTTATTCTTTTCTTTTCTCTTTCTAATACAAAATGCAGCATAAACGCCCTTTACCTCCTACACCCAATACCAGCACGAAATATAAAAATGTAAATGATGCAATCCAGTCATTATTATCAGACACTAGTTATGATGACTTGACGGACAGAGAAAGAAAATGGTACAGCGATCTCGCGAACTGCCACAAAACATTAGAGCAGAAAGATGTAAGTAGTCTATAAAATATGCTTATGATTCTCATTCTTGTTAGTCTGTCATCAACAACTTAAAGACAATAGTTGTCGAATGGAAAAGAAAAGCCATTGAATTTGAAAACGCATATAAAGAAACAAAACAATTATTTGAAGGTAAACATTGCATTACACGTATTTTGTAGCTTACGCGATTTGTAAAGAGCGTGAAAAGTTTCTCATTAAACAACATGAAGCAGAAATAGAAGCCATTACAAAAATTCAAACAGAACAGTTCAATGATAACCTTGAAGTAGTACTTCAGCTAGAAAAAGAAAACCAACTTCTGCGGTCTCGCTTAAATGAAGATAATGACATATTAGACGATAGAATACAAATCCATCACTACCAACAACAATTGCCTAATTCTGAAAATACAGGAAATGACATGTCTAGTGGTAGTACGAGTCAGCTGTGTAACACTGCAGAGGTAAATAAACTTTACAAAGTGTATTCATCGCTAACCTTTCTTGCTAGATTGCTAATAGAACTGCGAAGGAACAACCAAAAGAAAACTCAGATGATTTGATTCAAAGAATTAATGTAAGTTATTATGTATACAAAACAGATAAATATTGACAACATCACTTAGGATATGGTTATTGCGATAGAGGGCACATTACACCAACTAAACCATAGCCAAAATGATTCAGCAACACCGCCTTTAGTTTCCTCTGATAGTTCTTCTGATGAATCGTCTACTGATGATCCAGAACAACTAATAAGAGCCCATAAGAAAAAGCGCTCAATAAGAAATAGTCCTAATGCTTTGCTGAAAATAGAACAAGTTGACGGAAACCAAGACTACCTTTTAGGCGAGCATTATTGGGCAGATAATAAAATGACGCAACCGATACTTTCTTCACATTAAATAAAACATCTTTGTTCATTTTGAGAGACCACTTGATGCATGTAGCCCAGAGTACCTCCAATGCACACAGATCTAGGCTCCGCTTACACACAATAACAAAAAAAAAAAACCTGGCCCTGTTGCAAAAAAAAAAAAAAAGAAAAAACTTCTTTTACATATCCAATGCTTATCAACGGTGAGAAATGGGCCTGTGGTAAATAATGAAATAGTAAAACAAGATTGAATTCTGACTGAATTGTTCTTATTTTAGAGACGTGTATTAAAGTATATTCTATTTTAATGCTACGAAAGCGTATCTAATACTTTTTTGTTTAGGGTCATAGAGCTACTCACTGCAAACACACAGATCGCAAACTGATCTTTATAAAAAGAAAAGGAAGGCCTTCAACTCAGTGTAGTCGTTGTAGAGAACTCAGAGTAGTTCGACAACTACACGTCAAGTGCGACTGTGAAAAGCAAGGTAAGAAAAAAAATATAGACTATACCCAAATAACAATCAGTTAGACTCCAAAGTGAAAAAAAATTTAAATGTGAATGCTACTTCTATTAGTAAGACCCAATCATATTCCATATTGCTAATAGCATTAATTCCAATCCATTAGCCATCAAGAAGAGACGAAAATTAGAAGTATTGCGACCTATTGCACCTAAACAAGAAACTGAATCCATCAGTTGTTGTTCCAAGAATTCAATATCATCATCTGTTCAACATACACCCTCACCACCAGCAGTAGATATTTTACAACCATCCATAGCATCACCGTTACCACTACAACTGTCTTCTTCACTCCCGTTACCATCGCAACCATCTTCGCCGTCTTGTTCTTCAGTACCATCCCTACCGCAACAAACACCATCCTGTTGTTCTCAAAAGACACCAGCGCCAGCACCATCCTGTTGTTCTAAAAAACCAAGCAACCAAACAGCAGAAGAGGAAGTGGAAAAGATTCATGAATTGGCTTTAAAGCCAGTGCCATTACCAAATATACCACCACCTACTTCCTGCTGTGGACCCGCATTGAAAAATCAACAAGGGGAAACCATTCGAGTCGTAACATGTCGCTGTGGTGATTCATGTGCCTGTATTGGTTGCGACGCACATCCTTCGCGTGCCATGAAGGAAGGTACAAATGATGTCTATATTGGGTTTGATAGTAGAAAAAGACTATCGATATCTTCTTTTTTATCCCCAAGGCAAGATCAAGTTCAACAAGAACCTTCTTCTATCTTGTTAGAAAATGGTATTTCGCTCTGTGGATGTGGGTGTTCAAAGACACTTGAAGAATGCCCAGGTTGCTTTGAAGGCTTTTTGTGTTCTTCAAATAAATAAAATCATGCAGGACATTGAGATTTATTATTATCATAGCCAAATACAAGATTAGGATTTTATTTGTAACGTCTATTGCTACTGTTTGATTTGCTATGATTAGGAGAAGGAGATCTAGGTGGGCAATAAGGTTGCTGTTGTGGTATTTGTAACTGTTGTTGGTTATAATAAAACTGCTGCTGCTGTTGTTGTTGGTATGGATCATAATACATAGCATTGGCAGATAATGGTCTTGGTTGTTGATGTTGTTGCATCATCATCTTTTTCTGCTGTTGTTCTAATTGTTGGAAACTGATATTGTGTGATCCTGGTTCAGGTAGCCTACTAAGTAAACCCTCAATCTTTACATTCGAGGTATCTATCTTGGGCTTTCCTCTTTTTAAGTCTGCTTTTTCTTGTTCTAATTGTTTTAGTAAGTCCATGCCAGACATACTCTTGTTCTGTTGATGGTAATGAGGTTGAAAAGAAGCACGGTGATGTCTATACTGTTGCTGTTGTTGCATATATTGGAATTGTGCTAATTGTGCTTGATGTTGCTGCTGTTGATAATGAAGCTGTTGAAGATGACTACCCTCAACAAGTGTCAATACAGGACCAGCATTTGGATCAGAAACAAGTGCTCTATCATCGTCATCATCATATACTTCCTGGCTATGATAAGTAGTATTCTGGTTGTAATATAAAGGTACATCGTCATCTTGATCGTCCTGGTAATATATATTCGTCATGCCTTTATGAACTCCTTCTTTCCCCTCATTCCCCTTTCCTTCCTCTTTCTCTTCTTCCTCTTCTGTTTAAAATTCGTACATAAATAGGTGTGTCTAGAACAAGGCGATTTATCACTTACCATCATCACTTGGTAAAGGTTGACTCTTCTTTACTGGCTTGGGATGATTAGATCTCAGAGCCACTTTAGCACGAGGTTTTGATTCAGTATCAGAATCATCGTCAGAGTCTTCTTCTTCATCTTCGTCTTCATCATCACTAGGCACAATTTGTTTATTGCGGGTCTTTTTGTTCGAGGCAGGACGATCTATAAAATTATTCATTAATTTGGCTATTAAATAATTATAGCTTACCATTCTTGGGAAGTATGTTACTCTTGACAGTAGAAGAAGGTACATCCAAATTCAATGAAAGATGAGTGTTGAAATCAATAGTAAGATTGTCAATTGACATGATAAAGAATAAAGAGAGAAGAGAGAAAAGAAAAAAAAAGGAACAAACAGGATTTATATTGGCTTATTTGACGTGCATCTATTTTATTTTTATATCCATGTAAGGAGGAGATTGAAGGAGTTTTTATATTTGCTTGCTTTAAGATTACACAACAACGTTTTAATTATTATTTATAGAAATAGAATTTGTTTGTTTTGACTATAATGTTGTGAGAAACATGCAGTGTGTCAAGACAAGGGCTTATTTTTATAATTGCCTTTTTTTCTTTGGAGTCCTTGTTTTTGATTGTTTCCAGTATGCAAGCCTATGAAATAGCTATGATTCGTGACGTAGCTTGAATAATCGCGAAGAAATTTTTCATTGATTTTTTTTTTTCTTTTTTCTCTAGTTCAATGTCTGCTGTAAGTCAGAGTAGATCTTCCTGTCAGGAACCTCTTGATCAAGTCACTCATACTCTTCTTATAGTTTGTTCCCGTTAACCCTAAACCTTTCCTTAACGACCTTACTGGTAAACCTGTTGCTGTCAAGTTGAAGTGGGGTGGTGAATATCAAGGCTATCTTGTCTCTGTTGATAACTATATGAACCTTCAGGTAAAAAAAAAAGAAGCAATAACGTGTTTGCTTGTTTGTAGCGCGTTTAACCTTGGATTTCTTAGTTGGCCAATACAGAAGAGTTTCAAAATGGTGTTTCTGTTGGTACACTTGGCGAAGTCTTGATTAGGTATTTATAGATATACATGTATAGATTTAGTAAACTATTTATTTAGATGCAACAATGTCCTTTATATTCGTGGAGTAGAAACAGATAGTGATGTAAAGATGGAATAGAGAAAAAATAAATGAAATATATATTGTGTATTGAGATGGTATTCAGCAATCAGAAGATTTTTTATTACGCAAGACCATGGCATTCGTAGGTTGTTGAGCCATGACAATTTTTTTTGCAGACATAAAAGTCGAATTTTTAAACCAAGAAGATATAAACGAAAGTTTGACACGGAGAGAGACAGGCAAAGTAGACGAAAGTTTGAATTCATTGGTTTGAATGGTCTGAATAGGCCATGACTTTAGCTCTGTCATTTGATGTCGAACACCTACAACTTGACTTTCTACCATGACTTCATAAAGTGTAAGTCGCCAAGATCCACCTGTCTTTACCCAATCATAGAAATCAATTGTAGCTTCTGCTTTGTCTTTCATTCGTTTTAATGTAGGCTTTGATACTGACTTGAGTACGTTATAAGCAAGGTGAAGTCGATCCATTGGGCTGGCTTCTAATACGCTGCATTTGTTCTTCATTTGGTTGATAATTTCTCGTGTCAGATAGCCATAGTCTTTATTTAATCTGACATTCATCACAAGTGACTTTGTTGGCTTGTCAAAGATCTCGAAGCCTGTGAATTCAGGTGGTCTAAGGTGGTGTTTTTTAATTTCTCGGTCTATGGTTTCTATCAACTCTTCCACTGTACTCCATTTCGTACTAAAATCAGAGCCACGTTCAATTAGAATGCGTCCAAGGATAGAAATATGAGGTTGTGTATTATGTGCTTGGTTAGGACCAAATTCGACAAATGTTTTATCTTGGTATGCTTGAAGAGAAGTCTGTATGGGTGTACCAGGGTTAGGTTCTAAATACAGCACAAGAGAACGACGAGCTTCTCGAAGTCTATGAGGTGCTGGTGTGATCTCGGACGACGAGTTCATTTTAAAGCCTTCAAGTTTAAACTCTGTAAAATCGGGAACATCCTCATTATCGTGTTTATCGTGTTTGCCTGCTGGCGCACTGATAGTTGACCGAGTATCTATGACTTCGGGAAAAGGCATCTAGGAGAGAAGAAAAAGGAAATAGAGCAAAAGTTTTTTTTTATTAGTGTTTTTTTTTCTTATGCTACACAAGAACGAGGAGCATTTTTTTTTTCAATCAACTTTTTGAACAGGATTAGTAGTTGACTTTCTTTTCAATGACATGAGTTGTTCTTGAACAAGTCTGTAGAAATGATCAAACCAAGCATTGAAAATAGCTTGCATTTGTTGAAGACGAGCATCAACCAAATGCTTGTTGCTTAAATACAAGCAAGGAACAATGAAGGCGGAGATGATAAAAAAGGGAATTAGAATACGACTTGCTACATAAGCTGATATTTGATAAATCGTAAAGAATACAACCAACCACTAGACGCATATCAGAGTGATATCACATTGGATACAAACATACCTTAACACTCTTCTTTGTGTCTCTTACCAGGATAATGCGGACCAAAGCATGAAACAAAGCATCTCCTACTTCTGCAACTACAGTAGCATAATGGACTACATTTTCCTTGCTGAATGCATTCAAACTTTGTCTTTCCAATAGAGGACTAATTCAAATATAAGCCAAATAAAAATAGACATGCATATTACCTGAAAGGATTAGTGACTGTACTACGATCAGCAATAATTGTCTGGTAAAACTTGACAAGTTGAACCCAAGCAAGACAAATGGCACTCATAAAAGTCAAGATACCAAACACAATTTGTAACAAAGAATGACGGTGAGTCAATAAGATAAAACCAACCAAAGTAATCATAATGATGCCTGATCGAACCGGGTTTTCCCATGTAAGAATGCGTAATATTTCTTTTTCCATGTTTTTCACTGTTTCATTTCTTTGTACTATCAGTATAAAGTTAACTTGCATATATGCATGTATATATGTGCTTACTGTTTGTGTTCTTTGCAAATGTTCTTGTCGTGCCAGTACTGCTTGCTTCACTGTTATTTATGCTAGAAATTTGATTGTCTTGCATCATATCAATAGCCATTTGTTGGTTCAACAAAAAGAAAAAAGAAAGAAAGAAAAAAACTGGGCGGAAACCACAAAATTTTATGCAGCAAACATGAAAAATCCAACGCGCCAGAATTGATCAATCAGCAGTCCTTCTTTGAATCCAAAGCATCTATGTGCCTAAGGTAATCTACGTCATTCTTCATCTATTATATGCGAAACACAAGTAATCTATGAAGGCCATTTACATTCAAGGCATTCCATGTCAGGGCTTAGACAGCCTCGAATATCTCTACTTGCTGCATAAAAGAAGCGCGAATAAACTGATAATGTTTGGCCCAATAATAATCCTTGAGTAAAATTGATAAAAAGTAAGCACTTGAATGGAGGCTCTGATGCGACAAAATGACGATTTACATCTCCTGTGCAAGACAAGTTATAAAGCTTTGATGCTTCTTCGCGTTGAGATTAGTTTGACTTCTAAAGAAGCAAGTGAGGTCTAAAGCTGTGATTGTGAGACAAGAATCATCTATGGCATTTCATGTTCTCATATACTTTCAAGACTGAACAGATCATTGAATTTAAAGGACTTTTCGAGAAGACGGTAATTGTCAGAAGAAGAACAAAAAGCTACTGAAAGCAAGAATGAAGATCCCAGTGATTTTGGAAGAAGACGCTGAGCAAGAATTGCGCATAGATCTCACAAAGACAGCCTCTTACAATGAAAGCCGAAGAAAAAAAAGCATCTTTTGATGAAGGTACTTCTTGTGACTACGGTGCTGCTTATACAAAGAGACGAACAAAAGAACAACTCATTCTTTCTTTCACAGTACATCCCTCAATCATAAAAGGCAATATCATCGATGTTTATGATCCTCGCCCCCATGGTCATTGCGGCTTTAGAGCTGCGGCATATTTCCTGCATGGTAAAAATCATACTTCCCTGCAGTGAAAGCTGCTACGCTCAAAAGATTTGAAAAAAATAAAGACATGTATGTCAATTTTCTTGGGATGGATATAGATGTCCTCACACTTGCGATTACTAGATCTATTGATCTAAAAGTGAACGAAGCAAAGCAAAGCGACAAGCGCTATTTTGAACTAGGCGATGGTGACTATTTGGCAGACAGTAGTAGTCATCGCTTAGCCAAGAAAGCGAGCGTAAGGTTCTGGTTTTCCTCTCCAGACTACGCTCAAGCATTAGCTGATGCTTACTGTTAACCAGTTTATATCTATCCTTCTGCTGATGATCTTTCCTCTGGTAGTATTCCTCTTACCTCCCTTCCCTTGGATCTACCAAAAAACCAAAACCAAAAGCCTACACCAATTCATTTTCAGCTTGTTAATGATATTTATTGGTGTGCTCTCAAGTTTGTTTATTCGCATAACCAACTGCCCAAAATCAATCTGTTGTATTTCCATAGCCAAGCCAACGAAGATGCTTTTAAGAAATACGGGAACAAATGGGGCCTATCCCCAAAAAGAAAACTCAAAAACACCATTCCTTCTGAAGTCATAAGAATCGATGACTAAAAACCGAACTACTTTTTTTTTATTACTATCATCACTTATAAAATACTATATACAATAAAAGTATGAGTATCACTTAAGATAAAATACATGAATAAGGCTTTGTTTTTGAGTTTTCTTGGGAACTACTGTTTTTTGTTTGGGGGTTATAAGTGCTTAAAACGGTTGTCCCCTCAAAAACTTTTACAATCATACTCTTGAATAATTTTTAGTTCCATTTGGCACATCTAATATGCTTTTGATCCCCAATTTATGCCTTTGTTGAGCACCAAGACTATAATAAGATCTTGGTTTATACACTGACTTTCCTCACAACTCATTTTTGAATAAAATTGATAAGCATAATAGCACCAAAAGTATATTGGCAGCCCGCTGCAGGTGCGAATGTTTTTCAAAATAAACCATCATTTCTGCCTTCTAATCCCCCTTTTTTTTGATTTCTTATGCTTAAGCATACATAAAAGAGCATATTTATGCAGAAATATAGCAAGTTCTGGAAAAGCCAAAAATCATCATTCTGCCCTTATGATCTCCTTTACGAAATCTTCAATTTTCACTATTTTGCGATTTGTGAGCGACAGAGACACTGTAGACATGAGATGCCTTGGTACGAATTGCTTATCTAGGTCTATAAAGTACCCTCAAAGTGTTGGATTTGCAAAAGTACTATAAAAAGTATGCGTTGCGGCTCAAAAACGGAAAACACGTTTTTGGAGGATAGCTCAAAATTTTATGAACAAACATACTGTGTTTTTTACACCATTAGATGCGTCTTTGTTGTATGTATCAGCTTTGTTAATACATCTCTCTAACATCTCTTCGTTTTCAGACAATTTTAATCCATCATTTCTTTTGAATTTCTAAATTCCTTCATTTTTTGGATTTTAACTTTTGACATAAGAATGCTAATTTAAACTCAGATTTTCTTTAGAGGGGACATTTCACTTACATCAAGCTTTAAAGCATTATGAATAAAATCCTATATGACAACACTATCCAGTACTATCTAAATAAAGACATTCTAACTAAATATATACTTAAATTTTGATCCTTATTATCATTTTCTGACTTATTTTCAGTTTTTCTATCCATCTTTCAATTGTTTCTTTGTACATCTTCGATTTCCATTTCATTAGTTTCAATAAAGACATTTTGTTCTTGTCTTTTTCAATGCTAGTTGTTCAATGATAAAGTTTCTTTCAATACCAAAAAAGAAGAATTCCTCATCAAATACCTCAACAATTGATGTTCTATTTTCTTTTTTTTTTTTTTTTTAAAAAAGCTCACTACCAAAAAAAAAAAGACACTATCCTCTCTTTCATTGATACGCTGACCAGCTAAATAGTTTATCTTACAAGAAATGAATCACCTCGCTCATTCCTTTGTTCTTCAGCTATTTCTTAAACCTGGTTCATGCTTGATCAAATGGTTATCTCTCTTTCGTGAAATCCCCTTTTTTATATCTTTTATGCCTCTATTTTATTGTCTTTCCGTGAAACTAGCTTTTTTAAAAACGATGGATTCATTGGCCGTCATTCTATTTAAAAGCAACTGCTTACAAAAAAAAAAAAAGAAAAATAGCTGTCTTTTTTTAGGCGACAAATGTAACATACACTACTCGTGCTTCTTGCCATATAAACTCAGTTACTTTTTCCCTGGACACAATGACCTTTTTATTTCTCCTACATGTGATTTTCTCTTTTTCTTTTGTTTGTTTTATGTGCATTTCTTTTTCTTTCTTTATAAAAAAGAAAAATGCCCTTTTCAAATAGACAGTCTTATTTGAACAACAATAATGCTTTTGATCTTACTTGGCGAAACTATCTTCCCTCTTTGTCTGAATTCAACTGTTGTTGTCTAAGACAAAAGGGAATCCAACTTGAAGACGATCCTATTATTGAACCCGTCTATTATAACGATCATAGTCTCTATAGAGGAGAATCCCTGGAGAGCTACCTAAATAACCCTAGAGACTGGGAATTTGAGTCAGTCTTGGGTCAAAGTGATTTTTTGACTCGAAATCCTTTTATAAGAAAGAAATCACATCGAAAGAAGCATCGAGAAAGATCTGCTGTCATGGAAACAGATATGGAAGACGGTGATATTGCTGGTTATGAGCTGTATGATGATGCTGAATTCTTGGGTGACGATCAAATTGCTCATTTGGCTTATCACAGGTCAAATTCACAGGTAACATAAATGAATTTATTCTTATTATTCATCAAATCAGGTGATGAACCCATATGGTCAAGATGAACCAGCCTTTTATGCAGCCAGAATAATGCCTGATATAAACTTGACAACAGCAGAAGGCTCAAAATCTTTGGTTATTGATGAATCAACACAATCCCTATTGAATCAAAAACTAGACTATATCAAAAAGAATATGGCACAAATGAACCAAGAAGAAGACGATTTATTTGAAAGAAATACATTGAATACATTATGTCCTCCTGAAGAAAGGTAATTATATACTTGCATAACAAAGCTAATTCAAGAATAGACATCCAACTGGAATATCAGATATTGACTCAGTTGCAAGTGAAGCATTAGAAGTCTATGAAAATACACATCAGCATCAATTAGAGCAAGACACAAGGCGATATTCTGATGAATTACACCTTCCATCTCATGTCGATAATACCCCTTTTGTATCTGACCAACACCCTTTTAGCTATTTCAATGAACAAAATGTAAATAGCGATAGTCTAAATGTACAAACAGTTTTCAATCTCGGTAGAAAATGGCTAGGTGTCTAAATTATTGCCTTCAACATTTTTTTGGCCTCTTTTGGAATTTGTGTAATGAGAAATAAAATGACACATTTCGCTCATCATTTTTCTTTGCGTTGTTATTGTTCATTGCCTGTAAAATAATTCGAGTTTGACGTGAATGTAACAGTTTGTAGCCATGACGTAATTGTCAAAAACCTATATATATATATATATAAAGAGCATTGATCTACATGACATAATTTTTTTCTTTTTTCTTTTAACCATTATGGAATACGTCAAAAACCTCTTTCTTCAAAACCAAACAAACCCTACTGTTCAAGTAGACAAAGAAAACCACATTTATCGTAGTCACCATGCTGAGCATGGTTTTGTAAGTACTCCTCTTTATCCCAAGTTAAAAAAAGAAGAATGTACTATTGCCAAAGTCTGGAAAGAGACAGTCAAGAACAACAGCTATAAGCCTGTCTTTGGCTATCGTCCTCTCATCAACGTAAGTTACGCTACACATAGCTTGTTTCTGACATACATTGAATAGATCCATTTCAAGGAATCCAAGCCAAAGAATCCAGAAGATAAGCCTAAGAAATGGTCTTATTTCGAACTTGGTGATTATGAATGGATGAATTACCGAGAAGCCAATGAAAAAGTCGAGAAAATTGCTTATACACTTCAACAACATGGTCTCAAGAATGGTGATATTGTCATTTTGTTTTGTAAGACAAGAGCTGAATGGATGATGACTGCTCTAGGTAAAATAAACAAACATACCATATTCTGAACTAAATGATATCATTCATTTTAGCGTGTTTTACGCTTGGTTTGGTGATCACTACTGCTTATGATTCAATGCCCGCTGATGCTGTTAACCACATCATCAACGAAACAAAAGCAAAGGCTGTGTTTACCGAGGTAAAAAAAAAAAAGACAAAAGAACTTGAACCATAATTCTTGCTTGACCTATTGTAGACTTCTCTTTTTGGTACATTAAATAAGGCTTATAAAGAACTTGAGAAAAAGGATCAACCCAAGTTTGTGTTCTATACTGGCAAAGAGTTTGAAGCTCCTGAAGAAATCAAAAAGTTTAAGGACAACAAAGCAGATGATGTTGAGATTGTCCATTTTGATAGTATACTCGAACAAAAGGTCGACAAGCTTAATATCAAGACACAGCCTCAACCTGATGATTTAGCCTTAATCATGTATACTTCTGGCTCTACAGGTGCTCCTAAAGGTGTTGAATTGACACACGCCAACATAATTGCCGCTATGGGTGCAGCTGAATATCTTGTTATTGAGTTATTGGCTCATGGTAACCATTCTTACATTGGTTTCTTACCCTTGGCTCATGTGCTTGAATTTTTGATTGAATTCATCATGATTTCACTTGGTATTCCGATCGGTTATGCTAGTATTCGTACCTTAATGAACGACTCTGTATGTGGACACAATGGAGAAGGTAAAGGAGAAGGTGATCTAAAAGCATTGAAGCCTACTATCATGGCTGGTGTACCTGCTGTTTGGGAAAAGATCAAAAAGGGGGTTGAAGCCAAACTAGAAAAGCAACATTGGGCTGTCAAAAAGACATTTGATGGTAAGTTCATGATTCCCTTCCAGTTGATCTAATGTATTCTCTTTAGCTGCTGTGGAGATGAAATGGCGTTTGTTGCAGTTCTTTGGTAAGCCCAATAGCTTAACAGATGCTTATGATGCTATTCTTTTTGGACCTATCCGTGATGTTACTGGGGGTCGTTTGCAATACGGTGTCTCTGGAGGTGCTCCTGTTTCATTCGAGACTCAAAAGTTTATTACCTCTACTTTATGTTACATGCTTCAAGGTTATGGTTTGACTGAATGTTGTGGTTTAGCTGCTGTCACACTTCCTAGTTTTGGTCTAGTGACTGGTAGCATTGGTCCCCCTTCTCCTTCGATCGAATTCCGTTTTGTGGATGTTCCTGATACAGACTATAAGGCAGAAAACAATGTAGGTGAGCTCTGGCTTCGTGGTCCTTCTCTTATGAGAGGCTATCATAAGCGATCTGATCTTACAAAAGAAGCCATTACTCCAGATGGTTGGTTCAAGACAGGGGATATTGCACGCTTAAATTCAGATGGCACATTTGCTATCACAGATCGAGCCAAGAATTTGGTCAAATTAGCCCATGGTGAATACATTGCATTAGAAGCACTTGAATCAAAATACCGTAATTCAAGCAGCATCAAGAATATATGTCTAGTGGCTGATAGCAACAAGTCTTACATTATTGCTGTGGTTGAACCCTCTGATAATAATGTAGAAAAAGACATTCTTCTGAAAGAACTACAAAAAACAGCTAGTTCCGGTGGATGTAACCGTGTTGAAATTGTCAAGGATATTGTAGTAACTCGCGATAAAGATTGGCAAAAGGAATACATGACTACAAGTGGAAAGATTAAGCGTAAAGACATTGTTGAAAGCAACAAAGAAGACATAGAAAAGATTTATAAATAAAGCATATTATGCAAATGGTGACACACATCCATTGTTATGACTAATAGCTTGAATTGGGTTAGAAATGTTTTTTTTTTTTCTCTTATCGTTCTTCTTTCATGGTTTATTGGTCGAGTTTAACTTTGAGTGCTTTGGCTCTATCTTGTGCTCAAGCAGTCTTTGGGCAACAAGTCCCCCTTCAAGTCCAAAAGGTGCAATTGCATAAAGACGCACTCGATCGAGCACACCGACTTCTTCGCCATAACCCCCTTATTGATACACACAACGATCTTCCCATGTATATTATACACAAACAACAACTAGTTTTGCTTACAAGTTTTATAGGAATTTAGCTTTTGAATACAAGGGCAAGATAAACAACCTTAATTTAACGCATCTTGATTGGGGACACACTGATATTGAGCGTATTCGTCAAGGCCACTTATCAGGTCAATTCTGGAGTGTCTATTATGACTGTGAACTCACTGAAACCAATCAAGTCTTGAAAGCTATGGAATCAATCGATGCTATCAAGCGTATGGTGAATCTATACCCCAACACGTTTGAACTTGCAACCAGTACAAAAGAGTTTTACAAGGCTTTGCGTCATGGGCGTGTTGCTTCTGCTATGGGCATGGAAGGAGGTCAAATGATTGACAGTTCTATGGTAGCACTTCGTCAATTCTATGAACTTGGGATTCGCTACATGACTGTAAGTAACAAACAGCGTCAAGCAGCCATTTTAACCGTATACCTAGTTGACTCATAACTGCCATACTCCTTGGGCTGAATCCTGTTGTGATCCCAATCCTCCAACTTTTGATAAAGGCCTTGGTTTGACAGAATTTGGCAAGAAGATCATTTTGGAAATGAACCGTCTTGGAATGATGGTTGATATCTCTCATGTTGCTCATGCAACAATGCACGCTGCGCTCAACACAACCCGTGCTCCTGTCTTGTTTTCTCACTCCTCAAGCCATGCTCTTTGTGGCATTGAAAGAAATGTGCCTGATGCTGTCCTTGAACGCCTGGATGAAACAGACGGTGTTGTAATGGTCAACTTTTACAACAGTTTTGTCCAATGTGATCTTTCCAAAGAAGCGACTTTAAAAGATGTTGCAGACCATGTTGAACATATCGCTTCTGTTGCTGGTCGTCACCGTGTAGGCATTGGTGCTGACTATAATGGCATTGAGAGAACACCTACTGGACTTGAGGATGTTGCTAAATATCCAGACTTGTTTGCTGAATTGATTCGTCGTGGTTGGTCTGATCATGACTTGATTGGTTTAGCTGGAAAAAACTTTTTACGTGTCTGGAGAAAAGTTGAAATTGTGAGTGAAGAGATTCAAAAGACGCATGAATTACCTTGCGAAGACAGATTGGAAGATGGATTGTAATAAAGAAACTGGATTTAAATTTTTATCTTTTTATCTTTTTATCTTTTTTTTTTCTTTGCACACTATGGCACAGAACAGGTACGCTACGATACCTGAAAGCGAACAACAGAGTTCAAGTCGTTTCAAGACTTTTGTGAATAAAAATAAGCTTCCTGCTGTTATTCTGTCTTGTATAGTATTGTTTATCATTTTATTGGGAGGATTAGCCACTTGGCTTCCTGATATTAAACACATTACAAAGCAAACAATCATAGAAGCACCTATTGCCCCTGGTATTTCGAGTAAATCTTTGAAAGATGGACTACTTCAATGCCAAAAGATATCAAAACAAAACAGTCAGTCAACATGGGCCTATCGATCCAGCAATCCACGCGCACCTCAAGATATTCAGCCTGTGCTTTTGAAAAATACAGTTGTATGGGACGGGGAAGGAAATGTATTGGAACATGTTGATGTCTTGTTATCGAATGGCGTAATCAGCGAAATAAAGCACGGTATTAAAGTAGATCAAAATCTGACTAAGATCATTGATGTCGGAGGTCATATCGTGTCTCCTGGTATAGTGGATATGCACACGTAAGTTAGAAACTAGCTGGCTCATACCACTTACAATATCATATATATGTTAGACATTTGGGTGTCATGTCTTGGCCTAGTTTAGCAGGAACATCAGATACGAATGAAATGACACAACCCAATGTTCCCTTTGTCAGAGTGATAGATGCCTTTAACCCATCTGATAAGGCAATTCGCATTGTTGCATCTGGTGGTATCACAACAGCCCTGGTTTTACCTGGTTCGAGTAATTTGATAGGCGGTGAAGCCTATGCTTTCAAACTAAGACCTGTGAATACCCAAAGTAACCAAGATATGCTTGTGCAAACAGGTATTGATGAAAACGCCGAGAAAAAGTGGCGATATATGAAGATGGCTTGTGGAGAAAACCCCAAGGCAAGAAGCACCCATTTTTCTTTAAATCTATTGCTAAGCTTTTTTGTAGAATAACTATGGTCGTAGGCAAAACCGTATGCCTTCCACAAGTAAGTCAATTACAAAATAGTCAGACAAGTACTCATATTTATAGGAATGGGAGAAGCTTATTTGTTTCGTCAAGCATTTGCTGATGCACAGAAGTTAATCAGAGCACAGGATGACTGGTGTTCAGCTGCAGAAAATCTATCTGTTGACACAAATGAGCCTCGTCTCCAGACTCCTTTTCCTGAAGATATCAAATTAGAATCATTAAGTGCATTATTAAGAGGTCAAGTCAAGCTGAATATTCATTGTTACGAAACGCATGATATTGAAGCCATGTTGAGACATGCTAAAGAATTCGGATTTGAAATTAGCGCTGTTCATCATGCTTTGGAAGCTTATCGAATTCCTGATGTCCTCAAAAGAGCCAACTATAATATCACGGTTGCCACGTTTGCAGATCATTGGGGATTCAAGAAAGAAGCTTACGGTGCTTCTACTAAAGCTCCTAGATTACTGTTCGAGGCTGGTATTCCTGTTGCATTAAAAAGTGACCATCCAGTGCTTAATTCGCAACATATGGCTTTTGAAGCTGCTAAAGCAGCACATTATGGCCTACCCGAACAGGAAGCATTCAAGGCCATAACTTCTATTCCTGCTAAAGCACTTGGTTTGGATCATCGTGTTGGCTCGCTCAAAGTAGGTCATGATGCTGATGTTGTTATTTGGGACCGCAATCCTTTAGCATTAGGTGCTCTCCCACTTCAAGTCTTTATTGATGGATTGCCTCAGTTTGATCAAAGACCAATTGAGCCTATTCTCAGTACTAAGAAATTCAATAAGCCATCGCTTAATTTACAACACCTTCAACACATCAAGTTGAGAAAGAAAGGAAACTATCTCTTGAAGAACATTGGAAGAAACTTGTTGAATCCCAACGCAACAGAATCTTTTGTGGTTATCAAAGAAGGACTTGTTTGTCCCAGTTTGAATACGGATGACTATAATCTTAGTCTCAAAAATAATATGTATGATTCTTTTGAAATAATTGATATTCAAGGAGGATACATCTTGCCTGTAGGTTTCTGTATATATAAAATTCTATTTACTAATTATTTTAGGGCATCATTGCTGTTGGTTCAAAGCTGGGCCTTGTAGAAATTCCTTCTGAAGGTTCTACAGGTGACGGTATTGTTCCTTCATCTTATTCCAAAAGTCCGAGAGATATAGTAGAAGCTGCTGATGGCTTAAAATTAGGAACAAAAAAGCTTAAAGAAGCCTATAAGGGTGGCGTCTTGACAACCATTAGTGCACCCATTTCCAATCATATTGTAATAGGCATAAGTACTGCATTCAAGACAAATGCTGAATTAAGTAAGTCTGGCTGATTTCATTATTTATGCTTATCTGTATTCCCATAGTACTCACACAAGGCACATTGATTTCTCGCAACGCAGCACTTCATTTACAAATTGGTGATTCTGTCAAATCAAGTCAATTTCCTACTGTTTCCTCTCAGATTGCTTTTCTGCGCAACATCTTTAGAGAACATATGCATACTGATAACTGGTATGGTAAAGCAGCTCGTGGCGATATTCCTACCATTATCATGGTCAACAACAAGGACGAAATTGCATCTGTCATCCATTTAAAAGAGACAGTGATTCCTAAAGCACGTCTGGCTATTATGGGTGGTGCAGAAGCACATTTGCTTGCTCCTCATTTGGCCAAGGCAAATATTGCTGTTGTTTTGCGACCTCATTTATGTACACCCGAAAAGTTCGATTCACTTTATTGTTTAACAGGTGCGCCCTTGACTAATGGTACAGCAGCTCATGTCTTGTACCAACACGGCGTCAAAATTGGCTTGGGTGTTTCAAACGATGGCTGGGCTCGTAATTTGGTTTGGGATGCAGGATGGTTGGCTGCCACTAGTACAAAAAAACAATCTATTTCTGAGTTGGATGCTGTTCAGTTTATCACGACAAATTTGCAAGAGATCTTTGGTTTACAGAAACAGCCTAGTTTGAGTCAAGAGAGTTTTGTTGTATGGTCTGGAAGTCCTTTGGATATGCAAAGCAAGCCTGTATTAGCTTACGACAAAGAAAGCGGTTTACAATTGATCTAGTCTTCCAGATAGAAGAGAATTTATGGTCGAGAACTAAAAAGTAAACTTTAATAAATGAGCCAAGAGATTCCCCCTTTTTTTCTTCTTCGATAGATACTTGCCGAGTTACACAATATCAAAAGTTGCTATGATTCATTTTAGATTTTATACCATAATAAATGTGTTAGTCTTGAGTTCAAAGTACTCGCAAGAAGGGATGGTTGACTATATATCATGTAAATGAATAGTCTTTTTTTCAGAAGAAAATCTTTCTATGCTTGTGACAACAAATGTCAAATTGCAGAATATGATAATGGAACACAGCAATGCCGAGAACTATTAAATTAAATATTTGCTAAAATTAACACAGTGTTATAAACCTGGAGAAAAAAAAAACGCTCTGTTGCTCTTGTTTCTACACTAAAATGTGTATAAAATAGAATATCCACATTTTAGTGGCCTTATATTTTCATGTTATATTAAAAGTAGATAGAATGGGCTTTCAACATACACAAATGCTAAGAACAACAATAGACTCTTTGTGACACCCAACATCAATAAGAAAAACATATAAAAAGGACAGTTTGAAATTAACTCATTGTCTTACAAACAAAACTAGAAAAAAAAATGAAGTTTGCTGCTATCTTGTCTATGATTCCCTTATTGACCACTTTGGTTTCTGCTGATGGCACTACTGCTGGTGTTTCTATCACTAACCCTGTTCTTAATGCAAGTATACTCTCTTTATAAAATGTTAGATTAACCTTGGGTATAGACTACTGCCACTATGGGCTCTCAATTCACTATCACATGGACTCAAACTGATACCAATGTCTCTACTATTGAATCTATTGCCTTGATGGCAGGTGATGCTGCTGCATTGACTACTATTTTGACCAATATCTTGGCAGGCACTGTTGCTACCAGTGCTCTTTCTTACACATGGACTGTTCCCAGTAATCTTACTTCTCGTGAAGACTATGCTCTTGCTGTTCATGGTGATAACTCTATGGTTTCTTATTCTGCTTACTTTACTATTGCTGATGCTGGTTCAGACACTACTACCACTACCACCGACCAAACCACTGCTGCTACCACTGCTGCTTCTGATGAGACCACTACCATTTCCTTGTCTTAAATTTATTTATAATACTGTCTAAATAAATGTTCATGGTTGCATATCTGGATTCAAATCAAGAATCCAGAAAGGATCTCCACCTGTATCTTCTGTTTGTCTATTTGTAGTCACATCCACCATTTCTTCATCAGCAGATACTTCACTATCAGAGCTCTCAACTGTATAAAAAGAGTTAAGACAGTTGTTTAGATACAATTTATGCTTACATCGATCTTCTTTGTTTTGTTGAGTTGTATTTTGCCAATACAATAATCCACGGCGCATTCTTTCTTCATCAGGGTATGGCTTTTCAAAATCAACACGTACGTCTTTGCTTGCACTGTCAAAGTTGGGTGGTGCTGAGGTATATTTGGACAGTTTTGATGCATAGGATAATACGTCTGTAAACTGAACATTTGCTATGCATGGTACTTTAGTTCATGCTTGGGCATTTTCTCGGCTTAGACTTACAATTACTAGCATATTCTATCGCTTTCAGTTCAATCTTGGCTTGCGTTAAACAGAGATCCAGCTCTTCGCGTGCAGCTCCTAACTTTTGTATGATCTCTAATAATGCCATATTATGTTGCTGTATTTCGTCTTGTACTTTAATAATTTGCTGTTGTCGTGTTTGATGACTTTCAACTAATAATCTTTAGATAGAGTTACATGGAACCTAGTGCTTACTGTGTTCAACTGCCTGTTGTAGTTTTGTATCCACAAGGGCCATTTGTTTTATTATTTCTTCTGGACTATCTGCTTTGTCAGAATTCTCTGCCACTGCTGATAAAGAAGCAAAGTATCGTTTAACAAGTTGTGAGTATTCTGTAATATGCTCACAAACTTGTTCACGTAATGGCGATTCCATATTGTAAACAAACGAATAAAAAAAACGTAACTTGCTACAGGCGCGAGCCACTATTTATGTGCACTGAGATTAAACATGCTTGAACATTCTTTTTCGTTCATCATGGGATTGCAGAAAGACAAAAGAGAAGATGCTGTAAGTCTAAGAACAAGCAGGTTGAGTTGTGCTCTGATCGTGTGTTTGTTAGTATAGTCGTCATAAGCAGCTTATGCAAGAGTATTTGAAGCGAAAGACAGAACCAAAAGCAGCCTATGTACCGCCAACATACAAAACCCAAAAAGATATCCTTCGAGAAAACCACAAGTAGAAGTCGTTTAAATAATACACAGCATATATCTTACGCTTTTTAGGTTTGTAAGATCCGAACTAGACGATAACACCACTTGGGAAGAGCGTGTGGCTAAAAAGTATTATGACAGACTGTTTAAAGAATACGCTATTTGTGAATTAAAATATTATAAAGAAGGCAAGATAGCTTTGCGTTGGAGAACAGAAAAGGAAGTAGTAGTAGGTAAAGGACAGTTTATTTGTGCCTCTACTCGTTGTGATTGTACAACATCTTTGACAAGCTGGGAAGTCAATTTCGGTTATGTTGAGAATGGTGAGAAAAAGAATGAGCTGGTCAAGGTCAGGCTGTGCCCTGAATGCTCAGATAAACTTAATTACAGGACAAAAAAAACCCTTAAGCGAAAACAAAGACGTGAAGATCACAAACAGACGAAAAAGAATAAGCCATCTGATCGTTCTGCAGGTAAAACAAGAATGTAAAGATTAAATCTAAATTTCAATTAGAGCAACCTTCGTCATCAGAAGCAGAAGAAGCAGAAGAAGCAGAAAGCAAAGAAGCATCAGTATGGAGTAAACCAATTGAGACTAAAGAAGAAAAGACAAAGGAGGAGGAGTATGAAGACTATTTCGAAGATTTACTGCAGTAGTATTTAAGTGAATAAAGAACCCATTTTTTCTCCTTTTGTCTTTACTTATGATAAGAAAAGTTTTGGGTAAATTGTAAATAATATAATAAGTTATTGAATAACAATAGAACTTGTCTTATTGACAACAATTGTTGCTGTACAAGCACACAACATTACTTATAATGTCATTGCATCTTCAGCAAATAATTTTATGATAGCAGTCAATGTCGATGACACATTATATCCATTACACCCTTCTTATGGTATACTATTCCAGGGCGAGGCACCTGCAGCAAAAAAAGGATATCGATACTCCATAATAAATGCTGATGATAATATTGTTAACATCACGGAACCTTTTTTGCGTCCTCCTTTAGAGCATAATGTTGTTTCTACGCCAAATCATTTTTTTAATCGGTCCATTGATATTCACGAACTTAACTACCTTCCACAGGCATTGGAACCTATTTCTGCCCTTAATCGAGTTCAATCTGACTTGCATATTCCAAGCCAAATACCAACTATCCATATCTACGGCAACACATCCGCTACACAATATTTGCATGAAAACCAATTGGAAGATATTGAAGTGAATCTTGATATGACTTATATTAGGCATGCTATACTCAACTATTTTTTTTATGTATATTAACACTTTGTATAGTTTAGATAAAGTGTATTTATTTGAACAAGTTGGATTTTCGTTAGCTGGAAGAAGTTCACGCTGGGTTCCTAAATTATCGTATGGTATAAAACTAAACGAGAAGAATGACACTACTTTATTTGGTTACAAAAACCTTAAGCTACGTGCTCTTTCGAAAGACCCGACTTATATCCGTGAGAATCTTGCTCATAATGTATTAAAGTCCTCAGGTATTCCATCCAGTGGTTACTCATATGTCCGACTTTTTATTGATAATCAACCAATTGGTTTGTTTGGTTTGATTGAAACTTTTCAAGATCCTTGGGTAGCTACTGTATTTGCTAACAATGATAAAGACTATGCATCTGGCTATTTATACCAAGGGGAAGGATTCGGTTTCGATGAACAAGAAGAACAAGTGTATATTTCTGATTTACGTTACGAGGGCACTAATATCTCCAAATATGACTTTGATCAATATGATATTAAAGCAGGCCCTTCAAAAAATCCATTGGAAGATTTGATAGATTTGCAAACTTTTACGAAATTTATCAATGATTCTTCGGTAAGCACAACACCTGAGAGCGAATGGGAAAAGCGTCTAGACGTAGATTGCTTTAGTAGAGCGTAAGCACAATGATTTTTAGGCCGAGCTATCCTAACATAATTCCTTAGTATGGCCATTGAAAACTTGATTGGGCTTTCAGATGCATACATGACATTGGGAAACAATTATTATCTATATCAAGACCCAAGACAATCCGGTCGCTTCATCTACATTTCTACTGATTTTGATGATAGTTTGGGAAGGAGTTTATTTGATCTTGAGCCCATGCTCAGTGGGAACTATGCTGAACATCCTGGTTTTCTCTCCAGACCTCTTACAAGAAAATTGTTTAGTTACCCTGTGTTTCTTAAAGCATACGAAGAGCTGCTTTTGACATTGTCCAATACATTAGTAAACCCATCCATCATCAATCCTTACCTGGATAGTGTAGCGAAAATGATTATTCCTGATGTAGAATGGGACTTTAAATTACCAAGACTAGGTACATATAAACAAGGTGATTTCCCAGAGTTTGTGTTTCGAAGAGGAGGTAGGGAATACCTTCAAACATTTCTTCCAGCTGGTGTTCAACAACAAACTACGTTTAATTTATCTATTGGTAATTTCGATGAATCGTTGAATGGACCCTCTCCTCCACGTTCTGAAAGTATCAAGACATTCATTGCTAAAAAACATGCTGCAATTATGGATTTTTACAATGAAAGAACTGAAGAAAAATAAATGATGAAAGCTTTTTTCTTTAAAGATAACAAAATGAGTGATGACTAACCTAACCCAAGTATAATTATTAGTGACAAATGTATGCAACAAACCCATGTAGGCAAAAGAATTATAGCTCATTACGAGTCATTTTAATAGCTGAAGAGTAGATGGAAAAAGGAAAGACCGATTGGTGCCTTGCATTTCATTATAAGAAAGAATCAAGCATATCTACACCATCTAGAAGAAAAGAATTTGGACAACAGCTAGCTAAATTTTTAGAGTAGCTACAACCACAACTTTCTGAATAACAGTCCATTTACACTCCTCAAGAAAACTGGGATTGGATAAAGCAGAAAGTCAAGGCATTCTTGAAACAACGGAAACAGCAGAAATCAACTGGAGATTTCACAGACCCTGTAACAGCCGAAATTTACAGTGACCAAGAATCTAAGCAGCGAATAGTGAAAGAGTTTTACTCGTAATTATATACGCCTACTAGCGTGGACGCTTGAACACTGAATAGAATAGCATATCATATTCCATATCATATTCGTCTCACCGAGCAACACTGTTCGCATATGACAGCCAACATTAGTATGGTCGAAATTATAGAAGAACTCAAGCGGTCGCCCAGAAAGAGTAGTCCAGGTTCAGACGAACTTCCGTATGAAATTCTTCGCTTAGTACTCCAATGCCCAATGATTCAGCCCATTCTATTACAGATATACAATTCAGCGCTCGAAGGTGTCTTTCCCAATTCATGGAATGAGTCCATCATGGTGCTATTGCCAAAAAAGGTGAATTTGTCAGATTTAAAGAACTATCGGCCTATATCTTTAGCAAACTCTGACTATAAGATATTTACACGTATTCTTAATCGTCGCATTATGCAGGTTGCACCGATGCTCATTAGTCGTTGTCAAATGGGATTTCTGCCTGGACGCTACATTGCTGAAAATGGACTCGCAGTTCAAGTAATTATGAAAGATGCCCAGCAGCGTTGGATTGAGGCCCGGAATAATAGTCAAGAAGGAGACTATGATTTAGCACTGATGCTAGACCAGGAGAAAGTGTATGATCGTATGAATCTGAAGTATATCAAACAAGTTTTGGTAAAATTTGGATTCCCAGAGTCCATAGTAAACACCATAGGCAACTTTCTTTCAGGTAATCAGACCAACGTAAATGTCAATGGTTTCTTTACACCATCATTTGTTAAGAAGCGTCGACTAAAGCAAGGCGACCCAATTTCTCCTGTTTTGTATAATCTTGCATTTGATCCTTTATTACGAGCTATTCTTCAAGACAAAGCGATTGAGGGGTATCGACTAAGACTACGTCTCGAGCTTCGAAATCAAATCACTGTTTGGCCAACCTCAATTGCTACCAAAGTTTTGTGCTATACTGATGATGCGATAGTTTTTATACACGATCCTGATGACTTGACGCGAGTGATGCAGCATATTGAGCGCTATTGTAGAGCATCAAATGCGAAGATTAACTACTCAAAAGTTGAAGCAGTGTCTTTGTCCGGACGCAATTCCTCTTCCTTTTGGAGCCGTCATCTTCAACCGCTGCAAATTGAAAAAACTATATTCCGCAGACGATCTACAGCCGGCAATATACTTACGGGAGCAAAAAATAAAAACCTTTAAAAAAATGAAAGATATATTTATACATGACATTAATGCTTGGTCTTTTAGGACATAACTAGTGTAAGAAGGGATAAATAGTGTTGTGTATACAACAAAGACGCATCTAATGGTGTAAAAAACACAGTATGTTTGTTCATAAAATTTTGAGCTATCCTCCAAAAACGTGTTTTCCGTTTTTGAGCCGCAACGCATACTTTTTATAGTACTTTTGCAAATCCAACACTTTGAGGGTACTTTATAGACCTAGATAAGCAATTCGTACCAAGGCATCTCATGTCTACAGTGTCTCTGTCGCTCACAAATCGCAAAATAGTGAAAATTGAAGATTTCGTAAAGGAGATCATAAGGGCAGAATGATGATTTTTGGCTTTTCCAGAACTTGCTATATTTCTGCATAAATATGCTCTTTTATGTATGCTTAAGCATAAGAAATCAAAAAAAAGGGGGGATTAGAAGGCAGAAATGATGGTTTATTTTGAAAAACATTCGCACCTGCAGCGGGCTGCCAATATACTTTTGGTGCTATTATGCTTATCAATTTTATTCAAAAATGAGTTGTGAGGAAAGTCAGTGTATAAACCAAGATCTTATTATAGTCTTGGTGCTCAACAAAGGCATAAATTGGGGATCAAAAGCATATTAGATGTGCCAAATGGAATCAAAAATTATTTAGTGGTCATGAAGTATGTATGCTTTTAAGATAATATGTACTCAAAGATCTCATTGAAAAGTCATATAATGTCCACAGGACAAACTGTTTTTTTTATTGGATATGAAGGTATGATAGTCTATAGCTTATTGCTTACAGTAAGAGATGCTGCTGGAACCGTTAAGGTTGATACATTCGTTCTTCTTGGTCTTGGAAGATTTAGAGATGTTGATATCAGACAAGGAGAAACCAGAACAGGGAGTGTTCTTGGAACAGTTGACACTGAGGATAGGTCTACCCTTGGAGGAGACAGAACCAGTGACCTTGTTGATGGCAACGTCCTTGATAGTCAAAGAAGCATTGTCGTTACCGTTACAGTAAGACTTTTGGTTGTTGTCACAGTAGTGAGTGGTGATGAGAATAGGGTTATCAACGTTGTTGAGTTGGACATTGGTGAAGTGAACATCGCTGACAGAACCCTTTCCACCGGGCCAGGTCTTGATACGGAGACCGTTTTGACAGTTGGTACACTTGCTGTTTTGGACGTAGATACCAGAGACAACATCAGTTTCGCCACCCTTACCAAGAGAACCGACAGAGAAACCATGAGAGCCATTACAGGTGACACCGTCAACCTTGACATTGGATGTGTTACCGTTGATAGCCATACAGTCATCACCGTTGGTGACTTGAGAGTTGGTCCAATTGATGTTCTTGGAGTTGGAGATGTCGACAGCATCAGTGTTGTGAGCATCGTTGCTGCTGGAAGAGACGGTGTGCATGACAACGTTCTTAAGGTTGACACCATTAGAGCTGGTGATACCAATGTGAGCACGAGGAGCTTGGTAAATCTTGAAGTTGGCGAAGGTAGAACCACCAGTAGCAGTAATTCTGAGAACAGTAGGAGCCTTCTTGTCCTTGGCATCCCACCACTTTTGGCCACCACCATTGATGACACCAGTGTTGCCACCGTCGAAGTTGATCTTGTTACCCTTGATGATGAAGTAAGCGCTCTTACCATCGTACTTCTTGTTGTAAGAGGGCAAGTTGAGAGTACCGTAGAATTGAACGTTGACATTGTTCAAACCTTGGACAGTAACAAGGTCATTGAGGTTGTAAGTAGCACCTTTTCTGAAGACAACAGTACCACCGTTCTTACAGTTGTTGAAGGCAGTGACAATGTTGTTGGCAACGTTACCGCTGTTGGAAACTGTACAAGTAGCAGCTTGAGCAGCAGAGGCAAGGACAGTGATAAGGGCAAGAGAAGAGGAAAGAGAGGGAATGTAGACCATTATTAGACTAAAGGATTGGAAGTGGAATTGATTGAATTGTAGAAAAAACGAATCCTGCAATTTGGTCAACGTTTTTATACTTTATCATTGTTCTCGTGCTACACATTTACATTCATCTTTAAAAGCTGTTACTCCATACACACCGCGGAAGAATGGTAATAACTTCAATATAATTTCTAATTCATTATGCAGAGTTACACAAATGCTTTAAGCTATATACACCTGCTTGTAAAAACACTCAATACCTTAACTTGAGTATAAGGGTCCGCATCTATGAACTCCTATGTCGGGAATGTAGCAGTATTATTTTAATATTACGATTAATTGATAGGTATGTTCAATCTTTATTTTTTGTAATTTGCTTTTTTCTAAAACTTGGTTTTAAATAGTAGAATTTGTTCTAATATGGTAATGGTTGCAGAATATGTTTTAGATTGATATTTCAAATGTACTTGTACGAGGTACCCGCTTTCTGTATAATACAGGGCGCATACAGAAAATCTGTACTAATAAGGAAGTCAGGGTGATGTTTTCTTTACCACTGATTCGAGCTCAGTTTCGATATCTTTGAACCCAGAGTTTCCAGAAAAAAAGAGAAGAGTTTCTGTTGTGTTGATAAATATTATGGGCCCACCTCAATCAAAAGAAAGAAATTGCTGTGTATTAGATACCCCGACCGAAGATCATTTAAATGTATGTATTGCATACCACTAGTCTTTTTAAAGGAAATTTTACTCTGTTTTGTTATTTTTGTTTTCTAAGATTTGTTTAAAAGAGAAAAATTGGTAGTATATGGAATCGTGTTGAGATCAGTATGTCAAGTGATTTTTCTTTAGCATTGTGGCTATTTTCTGCTTGAAGTTGGTGCAAAACTTTGGGTTTGCCCTATATACACAGTTTGATATTTTGTCCACATGCTGGCTTACTTTTTTTTCTGTGAAACAGATCATACTAAGTTTCTGTTACATGGCGTAATGCCTGTCGAATTTGTTCAATCTTTAGATATCATTGGCAGGCTAAAAAAAATAAAAGAGTCAAAGTATGTTGCTCAAACCATATATCATTACAATGTTTTTGCATTCAATAAGGTCGAGATTGGAAAAATATTGACTGCACCTTTGACTGAGTTAAAAAATTATGTATACACTTTGTAGGCTTTTAGATTGGTAGATTACTTGATAAAAAAAGATTGGTAGATTACTACCTTTGCTTATATGTTGACACTTAAATAAACTTGCTTGTTTTGTGAGAAGATCATTGAGTAAGAAATTCTCATGATCTTGTTTGTAGTATTCGCTTAAGAGAAAAAATACAACAAGATGCCATAACACAGTGCACTAGACCATGCTGAATCAAATGTTTTTCATACTTTTTATTTAAGCTGTTATGCTTGATTCATGATAATCAGCAAAGCTTTACTCACTTGAAACATTAATATCGAAAAAAG